ACCCTACCCATACCAAATCCGCAACAAGGAGACCGGCAAGGTTCTTACCCCAGTCCTCAACAACTTGGGACACTTGAACCTTACCTTCGGAATCGCGGTTCAATCTCCATGGGCAAGCTTGTCGCAATTCAATGGGTTCCAAATCCAAACAAGAAGACGAAGGTCAGACACATTGACGGTGACAAGCTCAACAACCGTAAGGAGAACCTCGAGTGGTTCTAAGAGTAAAAAAATTTTATTTTAGGGGGAAACCCCGAGTAAATTTAAGTTTTTAGTTGCGTAAGCGGCTTAAATTAAGGATAATTTGGACAAGTAGTTCCTGACTGAATTGGACTCTTTCGTCATCCCAGTTGCGTAGGAGGTCGTCCCAGAGGAGTTGGTAGAATTGCCAATCCAAGGACGATTTGTCCTCCCAGGCATTGAGGATGTACTGCTCGTAGAGTCTCATGACCTCTGCCTTGCACCAGACACCCTCTCCCTTGGAACGTAAGGCTTCTTCGAAGTGCTCGAATGCGATTGGCTGCGGACCATCTGAAATGACACTTTTTGTCCGTTTGGTCAATGTTCGTGTCTCGTGCCATAGTCGACGAAAATACAAAAAAGGTTATATATGAGTTTGAGACCAAGAATGGTGTAACTCGACCTGTCCGATTCAAATTCGAATAAAAATTTTTTATTCATGCAATGTTTTATTTCTGTGCCGTCTTCAAGTATGCCCCAGTACTTACGCTTGGAGAGGACATGAACTTCGGTGAAAATTTTGTCCAATTTGAATTGACCCATCTTTTCACCGACTACCCATTTCAATGAGTTTGTTGTACCTTCTTCGTTCGTCATGAGTGCGTCAATGTTCTCATAGTAAACCTTCACTTTGGATTTGACTTCGGAGAAGAATTTGTTGTAGTTGTCAAGGACTGCCTTTGCGAACTGAGGGTAAGACCAATGTTCGACAATAGGTTTTAATGTGGTTACTAAGCCACTTTGACCTTGAGTAATTCGTACTTCAAAACAAAAGGAGAAAACCTTTCAACAAAGTTGTCGACCTTCTCATAGTGTTTACTCTTCATCTCTTGAGGTTTCTTAATGGAATATCCCCATGTCGAATTCATAAGCAATTTGAGTGTCATTGCAAGTTTGGGGTTTGAAGCTTTCCTAATATCATACAGTTGTTGTATGACTTTTCCAACTGTATAGTTCCTTCCTGGGAACTCACCGTCTTCGTTTGGAATTCCAGTCGGGATATATTGGACGAACCTCATGTACGCAGCGTTAAGGTCGACATAGTATATCTTTTCATTGAGTCGAACTTGTCGCAACCAATTGGTCCAGTTCGTGTGAAATTCAAGTGAGTCTCTTATCTTCTGAGAAACTTCTCCTGTATCTCATAAACATCGTCGAAGCAACCTGTTTCATATAAAACCTTCTGACCTAACTCAGATGCTCTCCAATACAATTTGACGTCAATTGGATGTCTCAATGGAAGTTTGTTTATAGCATCTTGAAGTTCTTGCAACCTCATTGGAAGTTCTTCTGGTTCAGGTTGGTATCCGAACAATCCAACTCCTTTTGGAACAGTGTACTTCTTTTGTGCTATAACTTTGTCTGGAACAACTTTTGGTCTTGCTAACAATGAAAAGTTTGTTTCGTCTTTTGGTACAAAAGTTTCTGTCAGCTTGTCATCTGGAATTGGTTCCAACAAACCTTTCTCGAAAAGAATGTTTACAGCTCTGACAATGTTGCACTTGCCTTTTCCGAACAATGGGTTTGTAAGACTTTCGTTCAACATGAAGTGGTTGTGGACAATTACAATCTTCAACCATGGTAAGTCTTTGTCAACAACATAGTCGTCATGTGAAGAACCTTTAGCTGTAGGTATGTTGACTCGGATATTGACATTTGCCAACGGTGCAACTTTTGCCAATTGACCTCTAAGAATGTACCTTGTCTTCACACATGACTCAAGATACTTCATCTTCTCATCTGTAACAAGACCAGAGTTCCTGAGACATGTAAGAATACAAGGTTCATTGACAATTGTTTCAATTGAATTGTAAATTCCATACCTTGTCAAGTCAATGTCAGACTTATTTATGAACGGGAAGTATCCAGCATGTTGTCTGACTGCTTGAGGGTTAGGTTCATACCATTCAAATTTTACACTTGCAATTCCTTCAATTGCATTCAAAATGTCTGAGTCGGAGTCAACCATTTGTTCTCTCTTTGTAGTCTTGAAAGCGTCAAGAAGTTGTGCAGCTGTTGTGACATTGCCATGTGCATAGTAAATGTGACCGTCCAAATCTGTTACGGTTAGTCTGAGATTGTATCCTTTCTTATTTCCGTCTTGTATGGCAGCAAGTACTCCCATGAAGCCTTCTTTGTTCTTTCCTTCGTCAAAGTTTACTGTAAAGGTTCGACCAGATGTAATTTGACTTCTAACTTCACGGTACTTTTCATATGCATATCTTGTTCTTTCCATGGGAGCATGTTTGTCTTCACCTTTTCCTTTTTTCCTTCTCAAAGGATGCAATTGTTCGTCATGTTTCCAATAGAATCTGGCAAAGCCGTCGTGTCCTTCAACTTGCGGTTCACTAACATTGAAAGGCATGTCCATAAGACGTTCTTCTTCTAACCTCTCTAATCTGTTTGGATAGTTTGCGCGTGCTGTTTCTAAGTCCATTTCATAGCGAAGACCAGCCAGTTTGTCATAGACTTTTATGGGTCTTCCCTTCCTATATTTAAAATTCTTCGAAACTCTCCAACCATATCTTTCTAACTCTGCTTTTATTCTAGCAGACCTTCTATCCATTCTATACGGGGGCATTTTTATAAAAATAAAAAAATATTTTTTTTCTTTACTTTACATAACCGCCTGCTGCCATAAGTCTTTGACGCCAACCCATACCAGCTAATGAAGGTTGGCTTGGTTTAGTCTGGAGACTAAACTTTGGTTTTGGTTTATCTTCAGTTTTTGGCTCACCTTCTTCTATTGGTTTTTCGTCACTTTTCGGTTCCTCTGACTTTACCTCACTTGCTGGAACAGTTGTGTCGTCAACATCTTCGTAAATATCATATGCCATCTGTTTTTGTTTTCCTTTCAACTTTTTGTGTTTGTTGTAAAGTTTAGAATATTTCGACTCTAAGTCAATGAGATGTTCTATAATGAACTGTTGGTCAGTGAAGTAAACTTTTCCATCTGTTGTCTCGAAAGCTCCTTCAGACTTCAATATTTTATTTGTGAGAGTCTGTTTCTTTTTTGAGATACTAGCCGTTCCATTTCTATGAAAAGTGACTTTGTAGTTAGGGTTTGTATTTCCAGACCTGGCACTTTCTATTATTGAATTTTTTTCTTCATCTGTAAGTTCTTTGACAGGTTTTGACAATGGTTCTGAACTTTTTGTTTGTGGTGTCAAATCTACCGTTTCAACTTCTTCGGTCATTTCATCTCAGTAAAAAATTTTAGTTTGGTTTGTTTTCAACTGGTTGTTTAGGTTTTTTAAGTCGGTCTAAAACTTCTGAGGTATAGGAAGAACTTGACAAACACGTTTGTGTAACTGCTGGAAGTCGACAAATCCATCTTGAACCCATTTGTCTCAATGCTGTATTGTTCATTTCATCTCAGTAAAAAATTTACATTCCCCACGTTTGAGGCGGTTGAGGTTGGTTATTGTTTACCCATGTTGTGCATGGTTATATCCTCTGTTAAAGAATCTTTCACCTTGGTCCATATAGTGCCCTGCTTGGTTATAGTAGTCATTTGCTTTGTTATAGTAGTTTCCTGCTTGTCTTCCTACATTGTCCATCCATCCTTGAACTTTTCCTCTTGTTTCAGGATTTGGAATAAGATTTGCTGCATCTCGTGCTACATCCCAACCTTTCTGTACAGTTTGTATAATAGGTTGTGCTTTCTCTTTAAGTATACCTAATGTACTCAAAATCTTCCTTCCAACTCCAAATACACCTCTGGCTATTGTTCCCACTGCGGGCAAAAATCTGGATGCAACTCCTGCTAATGCGCCAAATAAACCCATTTCTTATGGGTTAAAAAATGACGAATCCAAACAAGGACCCCTATGTTTCTAAAGCGACAAAGAAAGCACTCATGATAAAAATCTTTAGTTCAACACCAAATGCTTGGTTTATGGATATCTTGGAAAACATTCCGAGGTATAGAGAAGATGGACCACCATACTGGCTAATATTTGTCGGTCAAAACACAAGATACTGTGAAGCCATACCATTATGGTCCAAAAATATTTTAGATGTGAAAACTGCTTTGACAATATTCGTTGACAAATACCATCCAACAAAACTGACATCTGACTGTGAAAGTTCTTTCAAATCAGACGATATTAAAAACTATCTGCGTTCAAAAAATGTAAACCAATATTTCATTGTCGACCAAAACCATTCTGCTCTTGGTGTCATTGACAGTTGTATAAAAATCTTAAGAGACTTAAACCAACCACAAGGTGGTGAAGCAAATGAAATGTCATATGACGACAAGTATAGACATTCTCCATGGCAAAGATGAGACAAGTTTTAAATATTTACAATAGCCGTAAACAAAAAGGTTTGGGAAACCACTCCCCCGAAGAAATGAAAAACAACCCCGACTTAGAGAAAGACTATATATTTAATAGTTTAGTCAAAAGAGACAAACAAGAAAGAATGCCAGGCTTCAAACTTAAGAAAGGTGACAAAGTAAAAATAGAAATACCTAAACGCGACCCATATGAAAATACTATTGACTATGACAACAATGGGAACTCGACAGGTACTCACATTCGTGTTCGTAAAAATAGAAGAAAGTATACAAGAGAATATTATGAAGTTTTAGGCAAACATGGCAAAATGTACAGACTGCAAGCAGAAGATAAAACTACTATTGTCAGACCTCGTTTCAAACTTGTCAAAGTTCAAGGTGGTATACTTTCAAAGACAGTTCCTAACAAATATAAGACAACTCCTGACGAATATGCTAAAGAAGTTGAAAATGACGACTAAGCATTTCTATACCATGCGTAAACTGTCATGTAAGGTGGCATGTAGTCTTTACTTTGTCCCGTTGTTTGCGTATACCCTGAAACGCGATGTGTATGGCTTCCTCCTACCTCAGTGTTACTCCAGTAACAATTTATAGCAAACTTAACGTCCTCTTTAACATCATATCCTTTACCTTTTGTCATTCCTGACCAATCCCAAAATCTATGACTATGCAAACCTGCTTCAGATGTACTTAAATTTATGTAGTGACTGTGCGCAGGTAAATTTGCACCTGAAATCGTTTTACTTCCACCTGTTTCCTTTGAAGAGTTTGCACAATACAAAAACCTGTCGACTATTTGAGTCCAAGTTCCGAGACCAAGTACTACTTCTGGTCTGGTAGAGTTCATTGACGTATAAATAGAGCCTATAGGATATAATGTTTGAAGTATTTCTGTCTTTAATGTTTGAAGCTCTGTTTTGTCTGCTTTCTTGTCATATAAATCTTGAGCAGTGAATTTAATATTATGTTCATCCTTCATGACATAAACATCTTTACATCTAATGTTTAACATCGTCGTTATGTCGTCATCCGATGTTAAACCTTGTGGAAAGTTAGGAGGTTTACAATATAATGCATCCCCACCAGTTTCTTCAACCGTTCCTTCAATACTTTCTATAGCAACAGTTGTAAAACTTGTATGTGTATGGTTCTTGTCTGCTTTCTTCTCTAACTCATCGTTAACATAAGTTTTATCTGCTTTAAGGTCTAAACATCCTGAAACCCATCCTGTATCGGCTTTAACTTTAAAAGTCTTCGATGTCCATTCATGGTACCAGTCAACCCTTTCTTTCATTTCGTTATCTTTTTCATCCACATATTCCTTATCTGCTTTCTTCTCTAACTTACTAGCCACATATTCCTTATCCGCTTTCTTTTCAAGGCTAACGTTTAAGTCTGTTATTTCAGATATAGAATGTGTATGAGTCTTTTTAGAATATTCGTTTTCAGCTCTTGTCACTTCACTTGACATTTTATTGTCAACATATGTTTTGTCTGCTAGTTCAGGATGAGTATGTTCTTTTGTTGCATAAGCATTGTTAGCTCTTTCTTCTTCTTTTGCTATTGCATCGTCTACATACTCTTTGTCAGCTTTGTTGTCAATATCTGCTTTCAAAAGAAGTTCATCTATAGGTTTCTCGTTTAAAGTTCCTTTTGTTGGATTTATACAAACAGTATGGTTCTTGTTGTCTTGAAACAGAAACTCGTCTGTCATTGGGTTTATCGTCAGTTTTAAGTTTCCTTCTTTCAATGACTCAGATATCTTAGAATAGTTTGAAAAGTTTGTTGTGTTCTTATTTAGAGCTTGCATAATGAGTTGTCGGTTGTGTTGTATTTCTCTCATGGAAGCAATATCTTTCGACATTTTTATTCTAGATAAAATATGCTTCCAATAGAAAAAGAAAATTCAAGAGTTGCTACAACTAAACCATTAGATGAACTTTTTACGAATGTCGGTCAAAAGTTTGAGACAGAGACCGTAAAGCATGAAGGCTATCGTTTTGACTACCCATTAAGATGGCTAAGAGACCCATCTGTCACAAAAGCTATTGGCTTTCGTAGAATGAAGTTTGTGTCTGTAGAAGATAAAAGTTTTCCATTTATTGTAAGGTTTCATATAGATTATATATCTGAAGGGAAACGAAAAATGTGGGAAGAAATTGAGCTAATACAAGTTGACCTTTCATCTTCTCTACAGACTGCGTTAAAAAATATAGAAGATAAAATAAATTCATGTTATGCAAAATATGCTGATGAATATGCAAATACCGAGAGCACACTTTATGTGAGAATTGTATATGACAAACAAAATTCACAAGTGTCATTTCAAATCTACGAAGACAATCCAAATAAAGACGAACAAATATATACAGAATTCACTGCAATGTCATGGTATTATTTGCAAAGAATGTTAAATCAGAAAGTCAAACTTCCTTTAGCAAATATTTACAGTCGATATGCAAGAGATGAACCATATTTATTTAAAGATGTTTTCGACTCAGATGCTATTATAGTTCATGCTTCATTTTCTGGTGCACAAAACTCTTTTTTATGCTTGGCAAATGACTTTTACGAAAAACCTACAAAGCTATATGAACCACCGAGTGGAAGTATTTCAGACTTTCAAGTATGGTTTACTACAGATGGAAGAAAAAGAATAATTCCATTATACCATGCGTTTTACTTAGAACTTAGTTTCATATACAACTACTATCGAACGGTAAAAATATAATTTTAATACGGTTGAGGTGTTGGATTTGGTTGCCAACTAGACTGTGGTGCAGGTTCAGGCTGTTGTATAACAGGAGCTTGCTCTTCTGGTTCAGGGTCTTTAGGTATAATACCAACAAACTGACCTACTCTTTTACCAATATTTTTGACACCGTTCCAAATTCCTCTTCCTACGGTTTTTATTCCATTCCATATACCTCTTCCAACATTTCGAAAGAAGTTTCCAATACTACTGAAGAAACCCATTTTACTATATGTAAAAATCTAATGTCCGCCTAGTCTCTTACGTTTCCTGTTGAGTTCCATTGCATTTTTTAACTGGAGCTCATACATTCTATTTCTCCTCTGGTAGAAAACATATTCTGGGTCAACTCCTGTGTTCGCGTCATCTGCATAGAGTTGTTTATATCCCACTTCAGGGTTTGTATAAAACTCTTTCCATCTCATATTTGCATACCATGGTGGCAAGCCTAACGCAGCGTCATTTGACATGGCAGTTTGCATTTGTACATCTGTTGGCACTTGACCATAGTTTGCCATTGCAGTTTGTATTCTAACTTCATTTGGAATATTCTCTGGGTTTGGTTGTCCAGGTTGCTGTGCATTCGCTAAGTTCTGTGCGTCCATTTAATATTAGATAAAAATATCTCTTACGAGTACATATACTGAACATTTGCAGGCATTGGTTCATCTTCATATTCTCTGTACTTTTCTGCCACGTCAAATAAATAAATGACACAATGGAAAAAACCTAAAACTAACAATCCGATTTCAAACCACATTTACTTACTAGTAAAATTTCTTTGTTATGACACTTTCTCCAGTTTATAGGACCTCTCTCATATTCTATCTTATCGTATCTAAACTCATAGTCATGTATGTCCTCTAACCATCTCATGACACTTTCCAAACCACTTTTATCGGATGTAAAGTAAAAGCATGGATGGTTATGTAAAACGTCTAAAGTTTCTAAAGAGTCTCTCAAAGTCCAGTCTACTTGGTATTGAAAATCCCATGTGTTATAGAACGGCGGGTCCACTATAAAGAAAACATTTTCCTTGTCTTTATATTTTTCATACAACTCTGTCCAATGACATCTCACAAACTCTATACCCTCAATATATTTTTCTATGTTCTCTTTGAAAACATTTGTATAGTTAAGATATAAAACTTTTGACATAAGTGTTTCAATGTCATGAACTCTTATAGCACCACTATATAATAGTCTAGCAGATATACTATCCCAGTCTATATATTCTGCTTTTTTCAAAACCTCTCTCACAATATTTTTCTTATCTAATGGTATACGTTCCATCTTACCTATAGGTATCTTTTCTTTTAACTCTTTCAATATATTGTTTGTGTCTGGAATATGTTTGAGACGGTTCATATAGTTGTCGAAGTCATTGCATATAATCTTTGAGTCTGGAAATACAGTATGGCACAAATGAGATATATAGAAACTTCCACCGAACAAATCTACAAATGTTAGACCATTCGGTAGTTTCTTAAGTTCTCTCAATATAATATCTTTACATTTACTCTTATTTCCAAAGAACGGTAACGGTGGTTTTGTAAAATTCATTTATATATAATAATAAAAATGTTTTTTCCTGAAAAGTGACAGAAAAGTGACAAAACATGTACGAAGAAGTCTTGAAAATTCAAGAGGGTAGAAAAGAGGTTAGAAAAGAGGTTATATCTAACCTTCTACCCTAAACATTATTTTTGTCTGATTTTACGAAGAAGTCTTGACAAAACATGAAAACATATATAATTTGTGAAAAGCTCCTGGAAGACCCGTATATAAGAACTTCATTTATTCTAAACATCTTCGGGGCTAGAGGGCACGAAGTGCCTGGAAGCCCCACTACCTTTTTTTTTTTTTTTTTTTTTGAGACAGTAATTTCTTGACAAATAACCTCAGCATAAAGATATTTCAGTAAAACAATTTATTGTTGAAAGAAGATTCTTTAAAATTATATAAACATGGATTGGAAAATTTTTGTAATTTTTCCTAAATTTAGGAAAAAATACCGTACCTTGAATAACCGGCGAACCATTCAATTGGTCATAGACCAATTTGAGATACCCTTTTCAGAGGAATCTAAAATGTTGTTTATATGGTTATTTATATATTATTTAATCATTTTCTTAAATAAAAATCATAAGTTCTCAATTTTTCTTCATAACGATTCTTATAAATTTTAATGTTTTTACTATGAGTGCTAAATATTATTAATTACTAAATGATTTTAAAAAGAAAAAACATGTTTTTACTTTGTACGTTAACATACGTTAATATCACTTCGGCTATGGATAGAGGCCAACAGCGCCTTATTAATGAGAAAAACATTAGCCTCTTATCAATGAGATGGAAGTGTATTCGTGGATTACAATTGTGAATTCAGATACACTTCCATCTCAAAAAATGCAATCAAATTTGTATTGAATTGCATTTTTTGAATACATGCTATTGGCAGTTGGGTTTTTAGTGCATTTATATTATATTGGTACTAAGGTTTTTGGAAAATTTACAAAATAAATTTAATATTTTGTAAATGTTATCAGTTCTTACGCTTTTGGAAGGAGGGATGGTATTTTTGGAGCATTTATATTATATTGGTACTAAGGCTTTTGGAAAATTTACAAAATAAATTTAATATTTTGTAAATGTTATCAGTTCTTACGCTTTTGGAAGGAGGGATGGTATTTTTGGAGCATTTATATTACATTGGTACTAAGGCTTTTGGAAAATTTACAAAATAAATTTAATATTTTGTAAATGTTATCGGTTCTTACGCTTCCTCTCTTCATCAAGATGCTTCCTCACTCCATCATGCATCCATCATGCAGCTTCCTCTCTTCATCAAGGTGCTTCCTCTCTTGATCAAGATGCTTCCTCTCTTCATCAAGATGCTTCCTCTCTTCAACAAAGTGATTCCTCTCTTCTTCAAAGTACTTCCTCTCTTGATAAAGATGCTTCCTCACTCCAACATGCAGCTTCCTCTCTTGATCAAGATGCTTCCTCTCTTGATCAAGATGCTTCCTCTCTTGATCAAGATGCTTCCTCTCTTGATCAAGGTGCTTCCTCTCTTCATCAAAGTGCTTCCTCTCTTCAACAAAGTGCTTCCTCTCTTCTTCAAAGTACTTCCTCTCTTGATCAAGGTGCTTCCTCTCTTCAACAAAGTACTTCCTCTCTTGATCAAGATGCAGCTTCCTCTCTTCAACAAAGTGCTTCCTCTCTTCATCAAGATGCTTCCTCTCTTGATCAAGGTGCTTCCTATCTTCATCAAGATGCTTCCTCTCTTCTTCAAAGTACTTCCTCTCTAAATCAAAGTGCTTCCTCTCTTCAACAAAGTGCTTCCTCTCTTCTTCAAAGTACTTCCTCTCTTGATCAAGGTGCTTCCTCTCTTCATCAAGATGCTTCCTCACTCCATTATGCAGCTGCTTCTTTTCTTCATCAATTCCTCTTCACCCTGGAGCTCCTCAGCTTTATATCATTTTAATTGTATTTTTTGAAATCCACCTGCAGTAGGATAAAGGAGATGTAACTCACGACTAAGAACCTGGCCATATGCTCCATTCCAGGCCAAAACAGATTGCATAACCACAAACAGATTGAAATACCAATCCTGTTGCTGCATGGGGCGTCCATATTCCATTTGGAAGACTTGCATCATCACATTTGGATCTGTAAGGACTTTGTCGTTGACAAAATTGGGCCTTGCAGGAGGAACTCCATTTGCTACAATGTATCTGGAAGCAAGAGGTTTGTTCATATCCAATGGATAGATTCCTGTTGCTTTAAAAGCATTTTCGATGTTTGTAGCTGTGCAAGACACACTACATGCATCAAGGAAGCTGCGAACCATGATATAGCGCAGTTCTCTGGCGTTCCATACATAATTGATCACCATATGCCCTTGCTGATCGTACCGGATAGTCGCCATATCAAACAACTTCTTGAATTGGGCCTTCAAGAGAGAAAAAATCCCAACATCAAGAGGTTGTAAGATATGAGATGTATGGCCTGGGAGAACAAGAAGCTCGATATTGAAGGCGCTCAAGAGGCGAACGGCCAAGAAAGAGAGCCTGGATGGATGACCATCTACAATTAGGAGAAAAGGTACCTGGGCATCAAACACATTCATTTGAGACCTTTTCTCCTGTACTTTGCAGATGAACATGATACAGTATACCATAAAAAGGTATTTGTTCATCCATCCACTCTCGGAGCGAACAAAAAAGGCGTCCAGATCTTCCAATTCCGCATCAAGGGTCTTCTTTTGTGGAAGTATCACCATTGGCTTCATAGTTGTACCATCTGCAAAGATGGTACAGACCCCTGTAAGATGTGGAAGCTGAGACTTTTCAGCGCGAACTGGGCGATTCCGGCCAGCAGTAAGAACTTTATAGCGACGTTTGGAATAGAGCATTGTCTCGTCCATATTCGCAATAAACTTCTTCCTGCGGGCAAAGTATCTATGCTTGGAGAGGAAAAATTGGCGAATATGGTTTGCGTCACAGGTAGAGGGTCGGAGCATATCAATAGTTTGGGAGCTCACAATCCGAATTGACAATCTTGTGGCGATATGATTAAGCCAGCCATGGGATGGCGATGGGCAGTAATCATCGAGCTTCGCTAGAAGATGCGGGCATCTTGCAGCGATTAGTACCCGCGCCGCAAATTTTAATCTCCTATTTTGTAATTCCGTACAGACAGCAATGGCCATTGATGTTGTAATACAGTTCAAGTCGTCTGCCATCTCTTGAACAAGTTTTTTGAACTGCATTTCATCTGGTAGTGACAAAAGGGTCATACCACCCCCTGACTGACCTTTTGTCCATGAACGACAAGTAGCAGTGCGCATGATTGCGCGTGCTACTGTCGTCTTTGAAATTGAGTAAACATTCCGTATTTGTTGATAAGACTCGCCATTTACTCTTCGATAGAGTAAATCGAGTTGCATCTGGGTCAATAGCCCAAGATTTTTATAGTTTTCTAATTCTGCAAACTCGGGAATTCGTGTTCTTGGTTGCATTTTTTTAAACGGGAACTTCACAAATTTGGTTCATGGCCATAAAAACTCATTCAATTTTTCTGAGATTTTTTTTCGTCACTCACTCAAAACGCAGAGGACCATTCTTCTCAAAATTGAATTATTTTCTCAAATATTGAGTGAGTAAAATGGGCACGTTGTGTAAATTGATTCAAAATTTTTTATTGGTACACGACCTTTGAAATTGGTCTCGGGCTATTCAACCTACGGTATTCTACATGTATTCAAAATAAAACTGTCCACATTAAATACATACATAAAACTTAATCTAACCGAGTTATAATTAAATTGAATTGCTATCAAAAATTGAATTTGCATTCAAATTATGAATTATTATTTTTATATGAGTAGCAGCAACACGAACTCTCAAGAATACATAGAGTTACTTAAAGATTATTACAACACATTCAATGATCTATACAGACTGAATACATCCAATGAAGATAAACTCAACAAACTTTACAATGATATCAAAAAGAACTTGATTGAAACCAAGTATTTCTCGCCATCACAGATTGTTAGTGCAATATTACGTGCATCACAACTTAATAATCGGTATAATACGTCGTATAAGATCATTTATGATAAGATCATTAAAGATTTTCATCTAAATTGTGGTGATTTTTCAATATATCTTTTAGATGTCCACTCTGAAAACACAATTTACAAAGCCATCATGCATGATGATAAAAAATCATTTATAAATTTCATAGAAAGTGAGAATTTTGATGTAAATCAAAAATTAAAAGGTTTTTACTATCCATCATGTTTCACAAAGTATTCATTACTCGATTTATGTTGTTATTATGGTGCTGTTAATTGCTTTAAGCTATTAATAACACTACATGGCCCAGAAATAACCAAAAAATGCCTTTCATTATCATTTTTGGGAGGAAAACCTGATATCATACATGAATGTTTGAAGGCACAAACACCGGATTCAAAATGCATGAAATTCGCAATAGCTTCACACAACATTGATTTTGTCAGTTATCTTATGAATGAATATAGTTTAAAGTTTGATTTTAAGGCATGTTGTGAATACAACAATCTTCATGCCTTTTTAATGTATTTAGATATGACTAACGATATAGAATCTTGCTTTATTAATTCACCAGCATTTCACTATCCACCTCTTTGTGAATATTTACTTTCATTGGGTGTAAATGTCAATGCAACTGATAGTTCCAGTACAACGGCACTTCATAATGCTGCACTTTACGATTCTCCAGAAATTGCAGAAATAATTATCTCACATGGCGCAAACATCAATGCTAACAATAATTTTCATAAATTAACTGCCCTCCATATTGCAGCCACTCATGAATCATATTCAACTTTAAAAGTTCTACTTTCACACGGTGCAGATATGATGCTTGAGAATTCATTTGGGAGTACTGTTCATAGTATTGTAAAACATAAGAACAACGAACGATTACAAGATTTAATCATTATTCAATAAAAGGAAAGAGATAGTAATAAACAAATTTTGTTATATGACCACCAAATTCATGTTAAATATCATTATGATCTCATTCAACATCATTGGATAAATATTAAAATTTTAATGCGACATTTTTTTTCATTTTGAAATTCTTGAATTTAACAATATATTGTTAAGCCTCAGGTTCAGCCAATTAATAAAAATACAAGCCACATAAAAATGTTAGTCAAATTAATAAAACTGTCGCACAAACGAAGCGTTTTGTTAGTCAAATTCACAATTTCATATTTAAATATCAACATTAATTTTTTTTATTCAGTCAAGATGATAAACTTCACATTGATGAACTGCATGTTCGCAGCCTAACTCAGCAGCTCTCTTCAACAAAGCTACAGACTCCTGATAAGTCTTTGCATCAGGGTTAGAATTCAACTGAACCATTGCGTAGTTGTACATGGAATTCAAATGTCCGCTTTCAACACCGAGTCTGAAACACTGCAAAGCGTCAGAGATAGAAGCAGGAGCTCCACGTCCATTCAACAGCATTACGCCGTACAAACACAACGCGTCGAAGTTTCCTGCAGCAACTGCTTGTTTGCAGTATTCCATTGCCAATTCATCATCTTTCCTTCCTTCAGAATTTGTCAAAGTATTGTAACTGTATTTATACGCAGCGTTTTCTATTCCTTTGTTTGCGGCCATTCTCAAGTATCTCATTCCTGTCTTGTAGTCCTTTGTTTCCTTTTCAGTCAGCAATATACCAAGGTTGTACATTGCTTGTGTGTTTCCTCCGTCAGCTGCCTTCTTGAAGTAATCTCTTATTTCTGCATCGTACAAACCATTTTTGTTCATTTTCACCATCAAAACTGCGATGTTATACATTGCTTCAACATTTCCTGTTTTCACAGCTCTTTGTAGATAATTCATTGCCTTTGTGTAATCTCTTAACACTCCATTACCACTTGCAAGCATTATACCAATGTTACAAGCAGCAATTGGGTCTCCTAAATCAGCGGCTTTTTGGAATAATTCTGCAGCTTTTGTGACTGTTTCAACATTTTGTGCCAAAATTACTGCAGCAGCATTCATTGCTTCGATATTTCCGAAATCGGAAGCCATCAAATAATAGTTAGTTGCTGCTTCTAAGTTTCCTTCAGCTGCAAGGACTTCTCCGTACAAAAATGTTGAGTCAGGATCTCTCAGATTTATTCCTGTCTGCATGATATTTTTGGCGATATCGATGTCTTTGTCGCAGTTTACTCCGAAGAATTTGTTTCTCGCGTAAGGTGCTAAACACTTCAAAACGTTGTGTTCCATACCTGTCTTGAAGTACTGCATTGATCCGAATCCGTTTTTCTCGCATCCTTCTCCTATTTCTGTCATTAAACCTAAATCATAAGCTGCCAACCAATATTCGTGTTCGTAACAATCTCTGAACAATTTATATGATTGGTCGACATCTTTAGGAACTCCATCATCACCTTCTCTAAGGAGAGTTGCCATTCCGTAAACAGCATGGTAGTTTCCTTTGTCGGCAGCCATTTTATAGTAATTTAATGCTTCAATAGGATTTCTATTCGCGTAATCCTTTCTTGACAAAATTCTTCCCAAAGCAACTAAAGAATCAACAACACCGTTTTCAACAGCTCTCTTATGATACTCCACGGCCAAATCCAAGTTCTTTTCGATGCCTTTTCCGCCTTCCAACATTGTTGCGTACTGGTAAATGGCTTCATAAGAACCTTGTTCCATTGCTTTGATGAAGATACTCGCGGCATCATCGAATTTCTTTTCTTCCATTGAGTAGTTTCCGAGTCTCAGCAAACAGATGATGTCGTTGTGTTCTGCACCAATTCTTTCCCATCTCAAGATCTCGTGCGATGGATAATTCATTCTTTCTAAACTCAAAACGTAGAAAGAAATTCCTCTGTAAACACCTGCATCATAAGCTCTTCTTAAATGATCAGCTGCTTGTTGGAAATCTCCTTGTTTGTAGAAGATGATGCCTAAATCAACTTCAGCATCTTTTACGCCTAAAACTGTTGCTTTTCTAAGATAAACAATTTCTTCGTTTTCACCGGCATTTTCTACTTTTCCTTCTGCAATTAATTTCGCGTATTCGTAACATGCCAAAGGAACATCTTTGTCAGCGGCGCCTCTCATGTAGTTTATCGCTGCTTGCGTGCATTCGCCCATTCCGATCCACATGTGAGCTAAGTTGTACATGGAAAGAGGCAATCCGGCACGTGCTGCAACGTTGAAGTGGTAAATCGACTTCGTAATGTCTTCGTTCATGAACATGAGAGCGAGTTCTTGGTCGGCGTCGGGGAGACCTTTGGAGGAGGCCTCTTCTAACATGTTAATAACCATGTTTTTGGTGCCTTCGTTGGCTGAGAGTTTGAGCATGAGGGCGTACTGGAAAAGAGCAATTACGTCATGAGGCGCGGCCTCTTTGAAGTGCTCTTGGGCTTTGTATGCTTCTTTTTGACAGCCGATACCGTCTTTCTCCATCATGCCGACAATTCGCATGGCTTTGTACGAACCGCGGCTCATGGCGTATCTGGCCATCTCCATGGCTTGAACGGGATCCCTGTCGCAGCCGATTCCCCTCAACCTCATGTTCGTTAATAAAATTGCAGCGGGAATGTACATCATATAGATCGAACTGAGCAACGCAAAGGCTGCTTGGGCGTTGGGCTCGATGCCGTCACCTTCGATAAGTGCTTTCGAGAGGTGGTACCGAGCGGGGATATCTCCAAGATCGGAAGCTTTTTTGAGATATTCGTAAGCAAGTTTGGAATTCTTTTTGGTGATTTTTCCACGATGAAGAGCGATACCGTAATATCTCATGCCTTTGACATTTTCCATTTTGGCGGATTTTTCAATCAATTCCATGGCTGCCGCCGGATCGTTGGCCTCCAACTTGGATATAGCCATACAGAGACTTGCACCACTCGATCCAGCGTTCGCAGCTCTCTCCATGAGAATTTCTGATTCAGATTGACTTGTTTGAGACATCTGTTTCGCTTGAGACTTCATGGCTGAGGCATGGCCTGCTCTGGCGGCTTGGTCTAGCATAAGGAAACCTTCTTCAATCGAAATTGTTCTCGCACCTTTGATTCCGAGACGGCCAAGGTGGGTTTTTGAGAGAATATAACCGGCATCCGATGATTGTTTGAAATATTTTTCGGCTTCGACGATACGGTTTTGACTTTCGAGTAATTTACCGTATAAATACATAGCAGATCTATCATTTGCATCTGCGGCAACTTGTATGACTTTTTCTTCGCTTATTTCTGGACTGTTCGGTATGATTCCTTCCTTTAATAATTTGAGATAAGCGATACAAGCCTGCATATGCCTTTTTTCGATGGCCTGAGTGAGGTATCTGAGGCCCTCACCAATATCCTTTTGAACCATGATGCCGTACAAGAGAATCATGCCGTACGCGTAGCAAGCAGAAGGATCTCCAGAAGCAACCATTGGTTCATACTTCTCTTTGACCATTTTGGCGTACTGCTCGTCAATCGGATCGCCAATGGTGAACTTTGGGTGGATATCGTAAAGAGACCAGATTAAGGTTGAATCTAAAAGTTTGTCTCCGTGGTAGTAAATAGTTTTGTCGGCATCCGCAGTGATAGCTTGTTGCAGTTCCGTAGTAATTTGTCCAAACTCTAATTCAGAATCGAAAATAAATTTTTTGGCCATTCCCTGGAACTTTCCATCAACATCTAATTGGCCGGATAGTCTTGAACTGAAGACAACAACATGTTTTCCATCTGCAAATTGCGATATCTGGTCTTCATTGCGGCATAAAACATCTTTATTGTAAATTTTAACTTGGGATTTGTTAATACGGTAGTATTTCTGAATCTCTGATTTGATGTATTTAATTTGGAACTTCGGTGGGGCGTCAACCTCCATCAATAATGAATTTCCGAATTGAATGTAGCACATAACATATTCATCAGCACGATTATTTGATGCAATGAATAATGTTGGAAATGGAGATCTTAATTCACTATTCAAGAATGTGTTACTTTCCATAATTTTGGAATTATAAATTATAATGGAATTTGTAAAATCGATATTATGCCTTTTCTCAATTTCAGCCTGTATTTCACCGAATGTATTATTTGTCTTTACTTCTAGCATGATTTTCTTGCCTTCTATTGTGAATACGACTAAATCAATGTAATCTATTTCGTTTGGACCAGCGTAAAGTATCATATCATCTGTGAGCATGAAAGAAAACCACTCTTGCTCGTGAATCTTCCTCTCATATGTAAAAATTGAAAATTCGAACTTATTGTAATAGATTTTCCTTTCTAAAATGAGAGAAACAAGATCACTTACCGTCGAGCCTGCCTTCATTTCAAATGAATGAGCATATTTCCCGGCAAATAAGATAATCTTCATTCAATCTCAGAAAAATTATATTTTATTCTGTTTACAACTATTCAAAAACGTCGAATCCCTTTCTTCAGCGTCTTTATTTCCTAGATAAGATAGGCTATGATAGAGCATTCGTTGAGTTTAAGCATACTACTCACCTAATGGATGATGAAGAGAGTGCATTTCTCAAATCTTTAATGGATTACGGATTAGATTACGAACCTACGTCAATTAAAAATGCTCTTAACTTTATTGACTCGTTTGTTGATATGGGAAAATATCCACCTCAGACTATTTTAACGAGATGCTTGTTTTTGAGCATGTTAGATCAACAATTTGTTAACAAATTTGCGTTAATTACATCTAAAATTTCTGTAAAAGGATGGATTTTCCATGCTTTAGCAAAAATTATCTCTCATAGATTTGAAATCTTGACAAAATCAATTAAAGAAGATCAGCCTGTTTGGAACTTCTTAATCCCAGAATTATATAATCAAGCAACAAACTTGAACTTTGATCCGAAAAAGAGATTTTGCGAACGTGAAGTTTCTTCTTTGATTGAAGTTTTCCCTTTATATTGGCCTATTAATGAAACATCAAAAAATGAAGTTGAAAAACTCATTAAAGCGTTTTCTGATTTCGTTGTGGAAGCGAAATCTCAAACAGCGTACAAATTACTTTCAATTCTTGCTTACATCTTTCCAGTCGAAATATATAAGTCAATATCCGAAAACATCATTTACTTAGAACATTATGCTATCGTGCAAATATTGAGAGCAAATGCAAATATTGATTTAACAGAATTTGCAAGAGATACAGATCCTAGAACACTGACAATTAAAATGCTTCAATTCAATCCGGCAGAAGCTATCAGTATTGCCAAATCCATTCCTGAATGTCACGATCTTGTCCAATTATTTGAACATTATCGCCCATCTGAACATTCTTTTGTTTGATATATTAAATAGATTTGTTTATAACGTTATATTTTTTCTTATCGATGTAAAATTCAAGAATAATAAATTGAAAATTTTGTATTTTGAATTCAAATATATGCAAAACGCATCAGCCACCATTTGTCTTATGTTATATCTACATGGATCGCTCTCTACCGTTTTGAAAAAAATCAATATGAAATAAAATACAGGTTTTTAATTAAAACATACAGATAGTAAATAAAATTCAACACAAACAATGCTAACTAAACAATTATAGAGATTCTATTAGAATTATTATGAATAATTCCAAATCTATGTTTTTTCAGATTGCTTATCATCGTTAAGATTATCGTTAATAGCAAGTCGTACGCGCGAGAATTGATAAAATCCGTTTTGATATTTGTGAAATTTATATGAGAAGGCTAAACCTAATATAATTTCAAGTAAATGCTGAATAATATAACCGATAAGTATTGATTGAATAAGTGGACCTACACGTTTTATCGCAAACATCCAAACAAAGTCGAAGGCAAGAACGAATGGTAACGTGATAATAAGAAAGAGAATGAAATTTGGAATATTTGCTTTCTTATAACTTGATATAAACAAAACTCTAGCTACTTCGAAGAATATTTGTATAAATCCAACAACGGTTCCGTCCATATATGAAAGCATGTTCATTTGATGGAAAATAAGGATTGGCACACATAAAACATCATACCATCTATTAAACTGGAGAATAACCTCTATAGCAAGTAGACGTGGATCACCGCCAAATAGAGGCATTCAATATGTCAGTTTAAAAATTCTAACGACATTTATCGTCCTGCTCTCTGCATTCCACATTTTATGCTGCACCTTCAAACAACATAAAATTGAGATGTACTTAATGAAAAGTTTATGATGAACAGATATTGATACTATAAAACCTATCATCTCATCGAAGTTAATTTTTTTAGCAAATGGATCTATTTGATTATGAGTTTAACTATATATGGAGATTAAAAAACCGATTGCTTTTACTTCATACTCATTCACAGGATAATCACAATGAATTGTTTCTGATATTTGTAATAGCTAAAAAATAACAAGCTAAAGGTATATAATAAATATATCAAGCAGTTTCCAGTAGGTGGGCTCACTTATTGCTATATTATTCATTGATCTCAAATTTTGGATTTTTGCATAAGGGCTTACAATAACAATTTGAGTATTATTATGGACTTCTAAGTTAACAGATGAATTGTTATAGGCAATCACACAAATAACATTTATTAAATTCTGCAACATTAGATATTACAACCTGATGTGAGTTGTTCAATCGTGAGTCAAAAGTACTATTTGACAGTGAGACATTTCAGTCCTAAAATGATCTCTGTTGTACCTTTTCAGACACTTTTCTAGGCGTTGCGGTTTTGACAGCCAATGGGCGTTCCCGGGTAGAGGCTTCGTGGCCAATGCTTTTACAACGACCCTACAAAAGAAGGTGTGGCTTTTTATACTTGGTGATTTTGTTGCGCTAGGTAACAGTGGTCACATATAATCCAAGAATTCGCGAGTTTGATTTTTTTTTACTAACAATTTTTTATCTAATTGCTACTCTCGATTAATACTAATACTAAAGTTTGTAAATGCAGTAGAAAAACAATCTGAAATACATTCTTTATCTAAATATTATTTTATGAATTTGAATTCAATAATCTTCTGTTGTAATAAAATTATGTTCAGTGGATAGAAACAAACTATTTATATAAATTGAACAAATACAAACATAAAAATAATATTTTCCATTTGATCAATGATCTAGTATAATACTTCACGGTTCGAACTCCTGGTTGTGCTTCTTCAAAGAACCTTGACTGTCTTCGATTTCATTCATATGAATTAAAATAATTATTTCTAAAATGAAGTTGAAAATTTCCCAAACTGTAATAACTACACCAACAATCCTATTGATAAGAGATCCATTTGCAAAAGCACTAAGTGTATATTGAATGCCAATAAAACCCGTTCCTCTGAATCCTGTGAACGTAACTCCAGCGAAGAATACAACGAATAACTGCGCTAGTATACATCCACCTATAGATTTTCCGTCTCTTAGGTTTACATATAAAGGATAATATTGTATGTAAAATAACGCGGCTGGGAATATAACACAATAAGAAAGAGACATTATAATATCTTGCCCTAAAGATGATTTATTATCTTTGATTTGAAAGTTGAAAATTGAACCTAATAATGTCCAAAAAAAGCAATATGTGATTGAAACGGCAGTAAAATAAGTCATTCTGACTAAAAATGAAAATCCTTGCTGAATTTCGGTATTTATATTGTGGTAGACAAGAGGCCAAAATGAAGGAAAATTCGGTTTGTTTTCTTCTGGCTGTTTTTCAAGCTCATGAGTCATCCCTACAAGAATCTCGTCATCAATTTTATATGATGACGGATCAAATGGGTTTGGTAATTGTTCATCCATGATTAGAAATCTAAAAATGACAAACCCTATAAATTTCATAAACCGAACGATTTTGTCATAAATTATACTTTACATGTCAAAAATCCTACTAATTTTCTCATGTATACAGGATCAAACTTAAAATTTGCAGATGTAGAGAAAATGGTTATGAATTCCAATAACATTAATGCAAAAATAGAGTTTATTGATACAATCAAAGCAAAATATCCAACAGCTGACGATGCTACAAAGAAAACAATAATTTTTTCTCTTTTCAAGCTTTGCAGAGAAGATATTGATGTAGTACGACTTCATGCAGTTCAAGTTTTCATGGATGATATATCAATTCCAAAAGAATATATTTCAAATTTAATTATTAAACCAGAAACAACATTCACAGCGTTTAAATTTAATACATATCCATATTTTGGCATTTTTGATACCCTTTTGACCGATAGATTGCCTCTAGTTCGTGTATCTGCAACACAAGCTTTATCAAACTCAGAATTTGACCAAGATCAAGAACTATCAAGCGTAATTATGAAAACAGCAGCTCAAATGCTTAACGATAACTCTAATCTTGTTCGTGCAGCTGCAGTTCACAGCCTTAGAAAAATTACATCACGAAACAATACTAAATTTACAATTGAAAAAGCACAAATCCGTATGGTTATCGCTATGCTTGATGATCCTATTGAAGAAAATCGTCACGAAAGCTTACTTTTAATCAAATATCTTCTTGTTGAAGATATTCAACAAGTTGAACTTATGATTTCAGGTATTGCCTTAGCAGCATCACATTACAGACATGATAGACCATTATATATTCAATCAGCTCGTTCATTTGGCGCAAATAATTGGTTCTTCTTCCATTTGGCCGTTTTAAAGATCCTCAAAATCATTCCAGATGAACTTGACTTGTATTCAATGACAACCGTCATACCTCTGGCCGCACTTTTTGCTGCAAGAAAAGTTCAATGTTTTCCACTTCCTGAATCGATTGCCCAGCATGAAGAGACAATAGAAGCCATCATAGAAGGATGCTCCGACGTATCCGTTGTAGAAGAAAACAGACCAGTCAATTTGGACGAACTTTCGGATTATATCAAAGATAATTCTGGAAATGCAAACTACTTTTACCAAGAATGCACGGGTTTGGCCGATGCTGTTGATTATGTAACTGGCTCTGGTAAAGATAATTACTTCCAAATCGTAAAAACAGATGATGGCCAAACAATTGTCAATAAAATCTCCGTAAGCTTAATTCTTCCAGAAGAAAATACTCCAAGTACGGCTTTGGTATACGATAGACTTGCTTTCTTCCTTCCTATCCAAGCAAAACTTAATCATCCGATTGAAAACAAGCTTTTGGTTAAATCTTCAGCTGCTTTCGATCCCCTTGAGCTTGAAGGAAACGGAACATTGTTCAAAGGCTCTTATAAGATGCAAGTTGTCAATTCAAAAATTCCATACAAAATTACTCTTCAGTTTATGATCCAATCAGAGGAAGGCATAACCAATATTGGAAAACCTTTCGATGTCTGGATCGTTGGACGCTCATATATCTAAGAATACAGAAATTTTGAATTATTTTTAAGATTCAATTTCGATTTCCTCAATAATTATACCAGTACTTCCTTGTAGGGGCTACTGGGTTTCAATAAAGAATATGTTTGTTATCACTTTTCTTCACTTTTTAATTTGTTCACAACAAAACTAGAGAGAATCTCATATTTTCTACTGCCAATGAAATATAAACCGAGACATACTGCAATTTTTCTTTGCAGAATCATTATTCTACACAAGGTTATCGACATATTCATCGTTGTATTCAATTTTTGGAGAGCAAAATCGTTTTCCGAAATATATCTTTTTTATCATGTTTTGAGTATTTCTTTTTTGATCTGTCACGTCAGATGAAATATTTTCAATGGGCGATCTTGTTCTGATTTTAACAGAGGATTTTAACAACGATCCGTACTTAATATTATTCCTCTGCTTTACTTGCGGTGTCTTCTTTTTCCGTGCTATCAATACATTCCTCGAAAAAGGAAAGATCTCCACATTTAAATATTGGAGCCGTTCATTCTTTAGATATTTCATGTTTTTAATGATTATAATGAAACTTGTTATGTTCTCCATTCAATTGGATAACAATGTAATGAACAACAACCTATTTTGCTGGCTCGAATTCGGATCTAACGTATGTTTTATCATTGCTTTAATTATGCTTTCCCAATCATTCAGAAACTTCTCGACACTTTGTACCGTCAAGAACAAGATTAAGAGACCATACTTCAGAATTATTTCCCTTTCATACTTCTCACTTTGCACAATTGTCCTCATACTCTCTACAGTATTCAATGGCAACTCTCATGCAATCAAGAACCCAAAGCCTGGCAAGGAAAAGACATATAAAATCGTTTCACAAGTCTTTTACGTTATTTTCCAGTTAATGAGCTTATCTGCTCTTTTAGTTTTTATCACAATTCCGATGCTTACATCTCTTATCTACCAATTTAAGAACCAATTCGGCAAAATGATCAATATAATCTTTATTTCAACTGCTGCTCTTTCTGTCGCTGCAAGCATATTTAGAATATGGTATGCATTCAATGTTGATCATCAGTTACCACTTAGAATCAGCCGTTGGGTTACTGCAATTGTAGATATTATTATTTCAATGCAACAAACATTAATAGATCACATCATCAAGAAACACTCTAACATTCTCTTACAGAACAAGCTCGAATCATCTTCTGGCGCTTCAGACGTCAAAACAATGTAAAAATGTCTTAGATTTTTGCCATTTTAATAAAATAGTGTTAATTCTTATTTATATATTTTTTAATTTTTTAAATATGCACTTAAGTTCGCATGGCACAGTCTTTAATTCTATTGATTAAGACTAATTTCCATTGAAGTTTCAAGACAGATAGGCGTTAGAGTACCCTTATAATTATAATACTACAATATTTGATATTTAAACATAGAAGCGAAGATCGAAATGAAGTTATACCATATTTGTATTCTAATAATCGAGCATAACAAAGTTTCATTTATGCCCATGCCGTACAAGCAAAATATTGCTCTTGAGCAGAATATAATTGATATCAGACTCCCAGATAATTAGGATATTTCTACAGTTTGTGATATATTTCCACAGTCACCAATAATAATTTCATTGGCTGCCATATGGCAAAATTCAATAATGAGTCCATTTTCCTAATGAATTTGTCAGAAATTTGCTATTTCAATTTCGATAGATTTTAATTTCTACCAGATAGACACTATAAAAGTAAAATATGATTTGATGGGAATCAACAATATTTTTCAATTGAAATCCGATGAAATTTCTAAATACAATACTTCCTCCTTTTTCAAGAGATGCGTTTTCAAATCAAACGATGGCAGCGGAAAATAAAATTATCGGCGAAACGATCGGCCAAAAAAATTTTACCTAATTTTCTGAATTAAATTTTTTCAAATGGGAGCAAATGGATCATACGCACCTGCAACAAACGGTCAAAGCAACGGTAATAAAATCACAGATCACATCACACTCTCTGTGAGAGGGAGTAGGAAAACAGGAAAAACAGCTTTAATTACTAAAATTCAAGCTAAAAAGCTTTATCCTGATTATTCGCAAACTCCTGTTATGACCGCTACAGATGTTATGTGGAATCCTGTTACCTGCGAAGGAGAAACTATACAAATTACTATTTGGGACGTCGTTGATAAAGCCATTCGTTACCTCGACGTTTCTCAAGACCAAGAACTACCAGATGCAACTACAGTTGATACTTATTCGAGAGCCGATGGAATTGTTATACTTTACAATCCTAAAAATCCGCAATCAATAAAATATGCAGTCACTGTTATCAATGAAGCTCCTCCTGAAACACCAATGATTATATGCTGCAATTTTGCAGATGAACACCTCAAAAGCATTGGAATACCAAAAGAATTAGCAGAATTATCTGATCGTTTCCAACATGTTCATACAAGCATGACTACAAATCAAGGACTTGGTGTTGTTGCCAAGTGGCTTGATTTGCCTCTTCTTTATCACAGAAAGAAAACATACGAAGATATGTTAAAGCATATTCAACAAGATTTCTCAGCTCTTGACACAGATTTAAAGAACAACCTTCAGAAAGAAAATTTCATCGCCGAAGAAGAGACTCAACATAGAAAATATACAGTTCCGGAAAGTTCGATTATTCCACCAGAAAAACAAGCAGAACTGAAGCACCCTAGTAAGCCAATGTTGTTTGAGAATCCAGGAAGTTAATTTAATTACATTTTAATGCAAAATATTTTATTTGTATTTTTATAATGGTTCTCTTATTGTTAGTATTTATTAAATTCATATTCTGTTATTACTGTCATTAAAATCGGATTATTCTTTAAAATTATATTTTATTATTTTTTTATTTGTTTCTATTATTATTTATCAATCATTACTTAACTCAATCTCTTTCTTAAAAAGGGTTTTGCTATTTAATATTACTATATTAGATCAAAAATATCATATCAAATTGGATTAGTAGAGCTAATATGGTTCAATACATGAAAATCAGATATTAACGTAATGGTTAATTTATAGAATGAGTATTTTCATTATTAAATCCTTAATTAATAATTTTGCCCCATTCATTTTTACTGTTTGAGCTTCAATTATTAAAATATTTTTGTCTAATACTGATGTGTATCTTATATTTTGAATACAAGGACCAGATTTGATGAGTGAAAATCTCAACCCTGATATTACCTATAAAGGAAACAAAGAGGAATGGTATAAGATAAGCAAAGGATTTTGGGAGAACCAAGATAAAACAGATTCGGGAATGCTTGATGGATATATTCAAGTTTCAGGCTCTGATATTTATGAAAGTCGTGATTTAATAGAAAAATATCAGAAAAAGAAGAAGTTAGGAAATACAAAGGCTGCTGATTGCGGTTCAGGTATTGGACGCGTTTCATACTTATGTTTAATGGACTATTTTAAACACATTGACTTAATAGATCCAGTTGCTTCATTTTTAGATGTTGCAGAACAAAAATTTGATGGATTTCCATGCAGAAAATACCCTGTTGGCATTCAAGACTGGATTCCTGAAGATAATTATGACGTTTTTTGGTGTCAATGGTCAATCATGTATCTTACAGACGAAGATTGCATTAAGTTCCTACAGAGATGCAAACAACATCTCCTTCCAAATGGCTTGATAATTATCAAAGATAATATTTGTGATCGCGATGTCAAAGCTGGTTTAGAAACATTCGAAGTAGATACAAATGACAACAGTCTTTTACGTTCATATAAAGTTTACCTAAATCTTTTTGTAAAAGCAGGACTTCATCTTGTGGAAGCAGTAAAGCAGACAAACTATCCAAAATACCTCCTTCCATTATATACTTTTGTTCTTAATTAGAGTATAAAATTATAGATTTTAATTTTCATAGTTTTTCAACAAATTTCCATTGAGAACCAAACAAACATTTTATAGTTTATTTGCATTAAGCACAAAATGCTATCATATTACTTAATTTAAGATCCGAAATATGAACCTATCAGAAATAAACGAATCATATTCTTATGGAAGCTTGGTTTATGTATTATAAGTATTGTCAACCTTGATTTCGGATATGATTAGAAAAAATTAGGTAAAATTATTTTAAATTTCGGTTTTCTTTTTTGGTAAAATCAACATGCAATGACTAGAATGTATTTTTACTTTATGTTGTTATTAAAATCTCTTACCGCAATATGTGCATTCACCACAAATAATGTGATGTTCACCAGTAACTTCGCATTGAGGACGACCACATCCTTTGCACTTTCCACAAATGAAATTCCTGCATTCTCCGTAAAAGTCGCATTCTTTCTTACCACAAACGGTGCATTTACCGCAAACAAAGTTTTGGCAGCCAATTGCGTCGCATTCCTTCATTCCGCACTTCTTGCACTGGTGCATGAAGAAATTGTGCTTGCAGTTTGTAACAGGTGGTGTCCAGCCTTTGCGTTTCTTCTCTTTCTTCTCCTTCTTTTCTTTCTTGTCCTTCTTCTCCTTGACTTCGACGTTAGCTGTGCTCATATCGATGGTAAATGAGCCAGATGGGACAACTGGAACGACTGGATTAACTGGTGTGGCTGGGGTAACGTTGATTGTGGAGTTTGGAACAATTCTCCAGTCTGGGATGATGCCGAGCTGATCCATGATGACTTCTTGAATGTAAACAAGTTTGTAGAGGACTTCCTGCTGATGTAAAACGAGATTTACGACATCCTGGCTGAGCACTTTGTTTGATGGGTTCATTCTTGGTGGCAACTGCTGGGTTTGTACATTAACTACAACTTGTGGTTGTGGTGGCTGAACATTAACAGCAACCTGGGGTTGTGGAGGTTGTACAATTATCTGAGCTGTTGGAGCTGGCCCTGGTTTCTTCTCCTTCTTTGGCTTAGGTTCTTCAGGTGGTGCCGTTGCGTTGATATTAAATGAAAAGTTTGCTCCAATGGCGTCGTTTTTCTTATCTTTATCCTTGTCCTTCTTCTTCTCCTTTGTGTCCGAGCTAGAGCCGAATGCTCCGAATGAGAAGTTGAAAGATCCGCCTTCTTCATTTTTGCTTTCCTTCTTCTCTTTTTTATCTTTTTTCTTGCTCTTCTTATCAGAATCAGAGTCACTGCCGCCTGTGGCTGCGAAATTCATGCTGAAGCCAGGTATGTTCATTCCGAACTTTGACATCGAAATGAATTGAGGTAAAAGTAATCTCACTTTTCAATTTGTATAACTTCAAAAAATGCAAATTATTGATATTAACATAATAAAGATCATATACGTTGCTAAAAAATTGAGAAGATTTCTGATCTGAAATGATCAATATATATCTACTAATATAGTAATATAAAAATATATGATTTTTATCAAAATTGAAATACAATGTTTGCGATATCGCATTATTTGAATGCCTGAAATTTTGGAGGTTTGATCAAGCTTATCAAAATACAACGATAATTGTATTGTAAACCATGATATTCTATTAATTGCCAAAGAAGAATTCTTTTATAATCGGGAATTTTCGATTTCATTTTTTTAACTCCGACATTTTATCTAAAAATATGTAATTAATATATATAACAAAAAACCTTCAATATTTTTAAATTATTTATTAATTACAAGAATAACAATATAAAAAATTTTAATAATTTACATATTTCCGCCTCTAAGAGGTTTCAAGCGACTTGGTTGATGCTGAACTGGTGAAACAGAAGACCCTTGAACATTTGGGTTGATATTCAATAGTTGCAGTATCGTTGAATTTTGACCCAACTTTTTAAGGTTTTCTTTTGAGGTTATTACATCATAATAATTCTTCATAACTAATTCACCGTAATTTCTTATAGATTGGAATACCTTAGCTCCCATCTGAGTCTTTACCATACTCTCCTTGTCATGCATCTCAAAGAACTGGTCAATCAATGAGAAAGAATTGAAAATGTCTGTTTGATTCCCGAGTTCACAAATTCTTGCTCCTGAAGCTTCGAAGCATTTAATTGCCAATCTGAGCCATTTCTCACTCAGATTTCTCTGCCAGTCTCCATCATATTCACCAATGGCAGCCAGTAATCCCATGAACGCGAACATAGAGCAATCCTCGATAACTTTGATGATGATTGCATTCATTACTTGGTTCAAAACTCCTTCAGCAGTTCCATTTGTTAAATGAGTCATCATTTCATATAACAGCTGCTGAATGTGTTCCTTAGGAATCAAAGGAGATAATTTCGTCTCAGAGAACAATGTCAACAGACAGAAAGCAATGTATTTGCAGAATCTCGTTGGTGGCTCAGCCATTGCGAAATAAGTGTGAACTTTTGACAACAATAAAATCATCAAAGCGTCTAAATGAGACTTAAATATTGTTTCGTCTTTCTTCAATTGAGCAGAAATTGATTTCAAAGCTGGAACGGCAACTCCTGTTTCGTCAGACATCAAATCATTGATCCATGAGTACAATTGGACCTTTGGATCAACTAAACCTTGTGAAACACTGTCATTTAACATGCAAACACATAATTTTTGTTCAGAAGATTTATGTGATTCAGGAGAATTTGCTTCATTTCTACTGAATGAATCTTCTGTTGGTTGTGGCTCTGGTTCTCTGTCCTTTGACATTGAATACGATCTCTTCTTTGGACTCTTTGGAGATTCAGGACGAACTTCTTTCTTCGGAGATTCGGCAACAACTTTTTCTTCTTCTTTTTGAACTTGAATTTGCTGCGGTTTGTTCAAGTTATCCAAGTAAATAATGAAATTAGTTGCTGCTGTATAAATCTCTGGATTTTCATCTTTGTTTGCAGAAACTAATTTCAAAATCTTGTTTGTCGAATTCCTCAATTCATCGACATAACTTTGAACATCAGCGTTTGGAATTATTTCAGTCAGACATTGATAAGTTGCCGTCAAAACGAAAACGGATGTTGCGATAGAGATAATGTGAACTAATATCTCTAATAAGACTTGTGTATCGCATGCATCGAATATTAATTCTTTAACACGCGACCATGTCTTGTGGTCTCTTCCGTAGCATTCTAAGATCATTGGAATGATCAAAGAACTTTCGTATTGTGTCAATTGTCTGTTCTTTTCTTTGACAATCGGAATCAAGTTCTCCAAGAAGCCAATGATCTCAGCAAATCCATCGACATGTCTCATTAACAAAGTCTGATACGCGCACCATAAGAAAACAATGTCTAAAATCAATGAAAAGTGACTGAAATCTTTTGTTGCGATGTTCAAAAACAAAGAACATGTTGAAGAAATGACTTCTAAGTCAGTTTCCATGATTGTTTCTGGGAAATATGTTTCGGCATTTGCTTTCAGAAGATCTGTAAGACTCTCCGGATCTTCATCTGTGTTCAAAATCTTCAAAGGAAGGAATGGATCAATGCCAGAAATTCTTTCATCAGTTTCATCACGAGTAGGAACGTAATTGAACAAACTGGAAGCTTGTTCTTTGGAAGAACTGTCTTTGTTGGCATTGGAATTATCTCTTTTCATGAGATTTGTGATCAACGATTTAATATGGGACTTCTTTGCTGGAGGGAATTCTTCGGCGGCTTTGTTAACAGCTTCTACAGCACCAGGAAGATTCAAGAACTGTATAATTATTGGGTTGGCGGCTTCATGGAATTCATCAGATTTGTTTGCAATGCAATTAGTGATGAAACTTGCATGCTGGTTAACATCCATGTCATAGTTGAGCTCCCTCAAGAATCTGATCGCGTAAATCTTGCCTTCTGCGTTGAATCTTTGGAATTGTTCGATGAAAACTTCAGGGATAAATGAAGGCCACATGGAATAGACCAAATTCATGATCTGGAGACACATAGTTCTTATCGGTTTGTTGGTGAAATTGAGGAGTAGCATCATATCGCAGTAGAATTCTTTTGGAATTTGGGAAATGTCGGAAACACTGATCAATTTAAGAGACAAATGAACGTCTTTGGCTGCAACTAAGACCAAGTTCGGATTGGCATCTTTAAACCATGGTCGAAGTCTCTCAAAAAGTGGAACGAAATCAGAAAATGGAATTGAGTTCGATTTATCTTTCTCCAACAACTTTGTTAGCATTGATTCGACTTCTTCCATTCCTTTCTTGCATTCGAGCATCGAACCAGCTCTTGTAACTGCTGATAAGATATTCTTTGAAAACAAAGCTCGTTCTGGAGAGCTATCTCTAGCGCTTTTCGGATCAGGAGATTGGCCAGCTCTTGTACTCTTCTTTGGAGATTGAGATCTCTTAGGGACAGGAATTGCAGATTGTTGTTTTGGTTTTGAAGGAGCAACAGATAAAACAGAAGGCTCTTTATCGCTGATATCGGAAGGAACTTCGTTCAGCTGGACAACCTTTTCAAGATCATTTGTATTTTCTCCTTGAGTTTCTTGGCCTTGTTTCTTAGCCTCTTTGATTTGACGATCGTTAACATACTTGAAGTTGTTCAGTGCTTCCGTTCCGCCGAGATTTGAAACAGCAACAAGACATTCATTTGCTGCTTTACGAACACCTTGATCTGAGTGAGTAAAGAGTGGTTTAATCTGCTGGGAGAAGCCTTCTATGTCGATATCTGATGAATCCTTTTCGTTACTGAGGTAATGAGCGAAATATGTTGCGATACATTTTGGAACTACTGGATTTTTAGCGCCAAGATGCTGATAGAAGAAGTTAAAAACATATTGGCCGCCATTACATTCGCATGTTGCATCGAGCAATTCAAATAAAGATGATTCAAGTTTTTTATCTGGCAATTTATCAAGTGCAAACAGTAAAACTTGAGAAATTGCATCATCAGCCATCTTCTGTGAGTCTTCTTTCTTGATGTAATACAAGATATCTTTCACAATATTTGCCATAACTTTAGGAGTGAAGGTTTTTCCAATGAAAGTATTGGAAAGACCAGCAGCTACAGCTTGCGGGTTACTTGAATCTTCATCAAATTGCTTCCTTACCTGTTCAAGACCTAATGTAACTTGATTCCATTGGCCACTTGTCAATAAATTGTTCGTTTCGTCCTCAACCCAGTCTCTCCATACATTTACAGCTGTCTGTGATGTTGGCTTACGTTTGATTGATCTTCTTGTATCAGGAGATTTGGCTCTTTGCCTTGCAACTTGGAGCTGCTTCTCAGGGATTTTGATTTCTCCTGGTTTCTGAAGTCCAACTTTTGTTAGAGCTTTTGCAACAGCGTCTCTGACAGAAAGATTTGCATCATCAACCATTTTCACGAGCTGATCTTGGACTGGTGCTGATACAGGAAGAACTGGACATCTGATAATAAAAGCAACGGCTTCTTCACGAAGACGAATTGAAGAATTTGTCAACATCTTCAAAATGTATTCAAGGAAAGGCTGCTCGTATGGCGAACCCGACACAATATTCAATGCTACTGCATCAAAAGCACTTTGAAGATTTGAAAAACGGCTTTGACGTTTTTCTTTCATTGCATTTAAAACAGGTGTAATATATTCACGTAAACGACGCGAAAGCTGTGTCTTGAATGTAATTGCGAGTTTTTCAATGACTTGAACTGCGACTTCGTTGCATGCAACGTGTTTTTCATCGTTGATTGCGTTAAGGAATGTATTTTCGTATTGTGCGAGTGGAAAATCTGGTGTAATTAATGACAGTAAGAGTTCATATCCTGCTTTTCTGTCTTTCCATGTTTCAGAAATGATTAATGAAGGCCAACTATTTTCTCCTTCGTAAAGAGGAACTTTTGATGGAGTAACTAATTCTTTAGATGGTGATTTAGACGAATTTGGATCTGTTGAATCGAATTTACCAATAGCAACCTTTGCAGATTCAATAGCTCCGGCTGCTTCTTTTTGGATTTTTTGATCATTATGTTGAAGTAATGGAGTGAGATATTCAATGAATTTATTAGCTTCATCTGCATCTTTTGGTGTCAGAGAAACGAGATGTGCAATAACGACTGAAATTACTGCTAAAATCGTATGTGGCGACTTCGACATGATTTTCTTGAATAGCAAATCTGTTACTTTTTCACGATCGTTCTTCAAACATTGAATTACTAACGGGATTGCAGCGTCTGAATTTTGTTGTCTAGCGCTTAAACACTTATCTATTAGTGCTTGAGCGATGGCATCGTATTGTATATCATTACTTGCTTTAAAGAATAAATCACAAATGGTTAATGCTGTTTTTTGACAAGATGGATTTATATCTGCGAGGTAATTGGGCAATTGAACTTGTAATTGATTAAGAAGTGCTGCAGTTGGTGTAGCCATAAGCTCAATTATGTGCTCATACGCCTGCAAACGCGATTTCCAATCTCCTGCTTCAATATCTTCCATAATTTTTATAAACTTATAAAATTTATCCGTTTAGAATAATCAAAAGTGACAAAATTAATGATTGCTTTATCCGATTTGCCTTATAATTATTTTCTAATGTGCTATCATGTGATTATCTTATCCGAAGAGAATTGAAATTTTCGCTAGATTTCAAGATTCACACTGCTTTCCATGGATTTTTAGTCAAGGTTGCTTAGATTTATTTACTGAATCATATACATAATTTATAGCGTAAAGAAATAAGGGCCAGCTACGGATAACAAAAAACATTTTATATGATTATTCTTATGTTATAAATATCAATTTTATAGGCTGGAAGAACCGAATTTGTGCAGCCTTTTAATTGCTTTCTGCAAACAATACATATTGTGAGTTTTCTGTCCCATTGTCTTTATAGATAGTATTGGGGTACACTAACACTAAAGGTGAAAGAAAGTATGAATTAGATTACTTGATTTTTAAACGATTTTTGCTTTAATATCATCAATCAAAATAATATTTAAATCTCAGCGAAAGATGTGCAAGAATGGATCTTTTGCATGGAAATTCACAGTAATCAGTCTTAATTGTAATAGGAATGGAGTCTTTCTCTGAAGAAGATCCAATCAGTGTTTAAAACTTAAAATTTACGCCTTTCTTAAGATCATTAATGTGCTGATGTTTGCATAATTGCTGTTGGAATGTCATAAACTGCATTCTGACATATTTTAATCATCCATTCATGATAAATTTCTAAAAAATATGAAAGAAATTAAAAATCGAAAGGCTATGAATTGTTGGACTGTTGGACATATATGAACAAATCAATTTTCATTGAAAACTGTAGAAGTATTGAGCAACTATGAAAATGCAAAAAAGGGTAGCTTCTCTTTCAAATAAAACATTCTCCAAAATAATGTCCATCAAATCCTAAAATGGGACATATTAATAGTGTATTTGAGAAATATCATTCGAAATCACGATGAATATTCAAATAAACAAGAAAACAAATATATTAAAGTGCAGAAATAATGTGAATATTATGGAATTAGATAAAATGTATGTCAATTCAGTAAAATCAAAATTGAGAGAGCCGCTAATAAAATATTTCGCATTTACTATGTCATTTGTTAGAGCTATAGTTAACATAAAAATTTGCTCAATGGTCTGAGATTTGAATGAAAACTTATGTCAATAAATAATATTAATTTTGCATAGTTTATTGTAATATTAAATGGGAAAAGACTAAATTTTAAGAAGCAATTGAAATTAACAATTTGTCCTATCCAATTTTTCAGAAGATATTTGGTTATTATAATTTTATTAATTAGATAATAAATTTAAATAAAATGGATTAGAAAAATTTGCCAGGCCCATAGAATTTAATACAGTTCGTTATCATTATAATATAATATAAATAATATTCCGATTTTTGATAAAATAATTATTATTTTTAATGAGGGATCATTCAATTTTTCAATAAATTCAAAAATCAAAAAATCAAAAAGAACAAATTATCATAAACACAAAATGCTATAATATAGCCAATTTTTATGAAACTTTCAGAAAAATTGAATTGTATTGAAATATTTTTTCAAAATGTCTTTAACTCCAAGAATTGGTCAGCTTTATTTGAGTGGCATTAAAAAGAGAGAAAGAAATTCCAATGATGATTTTAAACAACTGGAAAGAAGAAGATGGGAAAAAGTTTTAAGTGTTACAAACAAATTGATTGATATTAAACCAACTAATATCGAGAAATCTGAAAGCGCCCGCTCAACAGGGTCTTTATTAAAGCCTGTTTCACACATTTTCTCACCGGTTAAGCCATCAAAGCTTATCAAAGATCCACGGAAACAAAATAAAAGACATAATACTATTCCTACTGAAGATTTAACGCGTGCTGTTAACGAGCTTCTTGCCAACAAAAAGAGTGGTCAGGATGCTGTTTGCTACAATACAATGGAAACAATTCCATTTCCGTATCAAATGGATATGCCAGAGGTTAGGTTAACAAGACCTGTTTCCACTACAATTAATTCCCTTGAAAATCTCTTATTATAATAAATTGTTTGAATTTTCCTTTTTTTACAAAATCGAATCCACAAAATATTTTTATCACTTACAAAAATTGAATGTTCACATTCGCCCAAGCAGCAAAAGAAATCCATGTAGATCTAATTAATTGATGAGTCTACTAGCACTGGACATAATGAATATTTGGCGAGAATTTATAGAAGTGCATGCAAACCTGCATGGTAACTTAATGGCACAATAATGATCAATTAAATATCATAAAATTGTATTTGAATCCCTAATAGTTTCATGAAAAGAGGGTCTGAATCAGTTTTGTGAACAATGTTACTTCATAAACTATCTATACATCATCAATTTGTCCATTAATTTCATAAATTTCAATAATTATTGATAATATCTGGATGTTGATATGTTGAAATGACTTCTATATTTCTATATGTGATGTAACCATTCAATTAATTTTATAAGTTGCCTTAGTTTATTCAGCATCTTCATAATTGATCGTCAATAAATCGATAAATTTCTTATTGCAATAAGTGGAGTGAAATCTAATGATTCAAATAAAATAACTCATAGCATATTCAAGTAACAAAAATAAACAGTTAAACTATAAAAAACTAAATTTAATAAATCAAACAAGAACTGTCAGATCTTCGTATGAAAATTCGTCAAATCTCGGGAAGGTTTCTTCTCCGTCAAGTGAATCAGGTTCAATAATTGAATCCTCTGATTCAAAGTTGTAACCAGGATCTCCTTCGTCAACCAAAGGGACGAAGGTTGGATGGTACTCGCATTTGTAAACCTTATCCCAGTCTATGTCATCCCAGAATTCATGCTCAAAGACATCAAATCCGGGACTTCCAAGTCTTTTTGCCGGGTTCTTTTCGAGAAGTCGTGTAAGGAAATCAGCAAGAACGGGGTCCATTGACTTTGGTATTCTAACTGGTTTTTGGCAAATTGCATCAAAGAGCATTTTTCTGTTGTTGTTGTTTGAAAATGGAACGGAACCCGTGTAGAGGCAATAGGCAACAATGCCGAAGCTCCACCAGTCAATTGCAAAGGTTTGTGATGATGATTTGCTGATGATTTCAGGAGCAAGGTATTCAGCAGTTCCACAGAAGGAATTGCATTGGCTAGTGCATTGTCTGGCTGTTCCAAAGTCTGCAAGCTTAATATGGCCTCGAGAATCTAACAAAATATTCTCAGGCTTTAAGTCGCGGTAAATGATGCCTAAGCTGTGCAAGTATTTGACTGCTAAGGCAATTTCTGCTAAGTATAGCTTCTTCTGAAAATTATCAATACTGCATAAATTTTTACTGAGCTGGAAATGCAAATCCCCTCCGAACGCGAATTCTAAAACGAAGAGTAAATGTGTATTTGTTTGGAAAGCATTGAAAAGATGAATGATAAAAGGATGTCTTGCTCTCATCAAAGTATTTCTCTCAGATTGAATATGCTCACGATGTTTATCAGTACTTATATGAGCCTTTTCAATAGTCTTAATTGCAACAAGCTCGTCTTTTAATCTGTTTCTTGCAACATAAACAATTGCATTTCCACCTCTTCCGATTTCTTTGATATAGTCAAAATCTGTAATATCAACATTTGTATCTACTGGTTTAAGCTGCAATGCACAGATCCACTTTTGAGCTTGATGTTTTGAAGGGCAATAAAAAATTAACTCATCTTTAGAATTTTCCAGGGTAATTGAAAAGCCTGGTCTTGCTCCTGTTAATTGGGAAACTAATTTAATTTCATTAAGGTTTATATTTTTATATAAAATTTTTTGTTGTTCATCTTGATAAGTCGTAAAATCTTCTTCAGTAACAACTCCATAGAGCTTCCTGTCTGATCTGTACAGATTGGTTTTTTGTGAAATCCAACCTTTAATAGCGAATATAGGCTCAGAATCAGTCATAAGATTTGAAATAAAAAAAATTTGATAGAAATTTGACTAAAACCGAAAATTTTTATCAACTCACAAAATTTTGAAGACGATGGGTTTGTGATAGTTATAGAAATATAATATTTCTTCATATACTTCATATTATTTGATTCCAAAATTATATCATTTGTTGTAAACAGAAATTCATCAAAAGTGACACCTCAGAAAAGCTAAAAGATTGAATTTTTGGAACTTTTGATAGAGCACGTTTATAAATATTAATTAAAGTAAATGTATATTTTGTAAAGATTCTTTTTAATAAAAAAAATAAAATTTTGAAGAAGAACACAAAATCTTCTGAAAAATAATATCACATAAACTCATATTATTTTCTAATATATAACTATTTTATATAAAAATCAAATTCAATGATCTTAAAAGCGAAGGATAAACCTCAAAATTTACGAATATAATGAGTGGGAATATAATGCTTATCTATCATAAAACCATATGAAATATCAATTTTTGCTTTACGCCTAATTTTTGACGACAATTAGCAAAAAATGTTAAATGTTAACACTCAGTCCATTTGAATATGAAAAATAAAATTGACTTTGATTAAATGTTTTTATTTATCATGCAATTCTTCTTGCGACCAAAGATTTGAATAAAAGTTCAAAAAATAAGATAGCTTAAAAAATAATATACGGTAGTGTTTACTAATAGATGAATAGTATATAAATTCTATTAAAATGGATTTGATCCAAAAAAATATAAAACCAAAAATAATTGTTATAATTTAAATGAAGAAGTAATTTAAAACGATTTTATTTATGATCAAGAATTTCCTCCATATTATTTACCGCCATATTTGCAATCATACAACATTTCATATGCCTTCTTACGAAACGTACATGTTTCTCGTTCGCCTTCAATAATTACTCCCAAAGGAAGATATGCAGACACACCACATCATTGGCTTCCACAGATTCAAGGTCCTACAAAAGGAAAGGTTATTTATCACTTCGATTACGCCATTGCACCCGGCCATTCTTACTGTTACAACTTCGGACACTTCCATATTGATTTCTTTCCATGCATTCTTGTCATGCCTAAACAGATAATCAAAACATATAAAATTCTCAATGTACCACGCCAAGATTTTGTTCATGAAGCATTAGATATCATTGGTGTACCTCGAGAGAACCGAATTCCTCTCCTCAGAGTCAACGAGCTAGCCTTCTGTAAGATAGTTATTTATCCTTTTAATCCAATGATTCATCAGAGCTCGCAAGGTTTCCCACAGAAAATGATTCAAGATTTATACCACAAGCATTACAATCTAGATGGAATCAATGCCACAAGGAACTGTATCATAAACAGAAGAGATACAAGAGTGTGGTTTAATTCCAAGAAATTACTTGCTGCTTTGAAAGAGAACTATCCACAACTAGAATGGGAAATTGTTGCTGATATCCATGGATTAAAAGAATCAGCAAAAGTTTATGCTTCAATTAAGTTTTTGATGACTCCTTCTGGTTCGAATCTTTTCCATTGTTTCTTTATGCATAGAGGAGGTGTCATTCTGACTGTAGAAGGAAATCAACATGACTGGTCTTCTGTTTTATCAATACTTGCTTGTGGAATTCATCATATTATATTCCAGAGCCCGAAATTAAATCATGTCGCAGAATTTCCTGGATTTAATGTTGATGTAGGAAATTTTGTTAAAGCTGCTGGTTTCGCAGTCAAGTACTTAACAAAAGGAGAGTTTCCTAAAGAAGAATTGGATTTTTAATAGGAAACTCAACACAGACATAGAATTGAAAAGTTCCATTATATTTTTTTTTCCTCCTAAATTTACTTGTAAAAAGTTGTTTGTATTAAATTTATTGTCTAGTATTTTATTGGAGTTAATAAAAAGCAAAGGATAATGATGTGTCTACTCAACTTTCATATGCAGAAGCTATTGTAAGAGATTATCTAAAATTTCTTGGATCTATGTAATCTTAACATAGAGTTAATTTCTATGCTATTATTCATAGGAAAAATGTTTTCCCTATGAAGATCCATCGAAATTCATAGGAAGTTATGAAGACTATTGAAGATTTATCGATATTAAATTTTTCATTCTTTAGGAGTTCAGAGATGAGATTTCGTATGTAAAAATGTTGTAGAGATGTAATTAAGAAAGAAAAATAAAATTTAACAATTTGTGAAAGAAAAAAATCCTAAAAATATAGATTTTCACCTTTTTGAATAAGATAAATGAAAATCCATGAAGTGAACATAGTTACAAGCAGATGTTCGATGGTTAATATTTATGGATTTTGATTGAATTCGTGATTAGAAATTTTCTTGGAATTTTTTTTTTGATGAAATGCTATAAACAAGCTCATATATAAATATTCATATCATTCTTTTCAAATATCCAAGAAATTTAAGCAGTATCCGATATGAATAAATTATTTGTTCGAATATTTTCAGAATATCCGAACAAGTTGTAGTCTAGCAGTATCTACAGAATAAAGTTGTATTTTTGGATGAATCGCAGCAGACTCTAGAGTAAAATCTTCGTTTTTTGGTGAAAATGTTTTTGGAACTGGATCTTGATTGCGTAATTCTTCATTTAAGTCGATGGTTTGATTTTGAATCATGTTAGATATGGCTAACTCTGGTTCTGTTTGTTCTTCCGGTTTTTTAAATATTAGAGTTGGAGCAGAAGATTCTAATTGATTACGACGCCTCAGAAGCTTTAACCTATTTCTAATCATCCAAGATGTCTTGTCTGGAAAGTATTTTACAAGACGACTTTCTTTAGTTATACCTTGTTGATATAACATAATGAGTTTTTGATCATCTTCAAATGAGAATTTGTTTTCTTGACTCTTGACTTTTCTGGCGATGTATTCTTTGATTTGGCGTGGTTGATGATGTAGTTTAGTCGCAATTGCAACAGCATCGTAGTTCTGTTGAAGCAAGGCATCAATGGCTTCTTTATCTGCGGCAGAAAGAAAATGCCTTGTAACTTTTCTAGGATTATCTTCCGGAGGACTGGAAGGAAAGTAATGTTTTCTCATGAAAAATTTTTACAAAATATTTATTTCCAAGCATCAGTATAATATCGAAAATATATACTCGGATATCCTCAGTCACAGGGTATCTAAAAAGTAGAAAATCAAGCCTCTCAGGCAATTATATGACCTACAAAATGCAAAAATCTGTGAAATGGAGATTGTTTTTGACATTAATTGCTCAGACACTGGACCAACCATTTAAATTCATTTCTATAACTAACAGATCGAAATAAAAAAAGAAAAATCAGAAAAGTGAGAAAATTTTCATCAAATATATAACAATGAGATTTTTATTAAATTTCGATTTTAAATTTCTCAGAGTTTTTGTAAAGTAACGACTTATCAAAAAATCGAATCAGTCCATGAATCTGAACTTCGAATACATTGCTGCTCATATCAGTGATTACATTCAAAATGAAAACTTTTTTGATACATTCGATATCAGAGATATCAAAACAATCATGAAATATTCACGTTTGACGGCTGATCAGTACGTTACTCTTCTGAAACAGTCTTCATCAACTCTCAATTCCAAAGAATTATATATCAGCACACGAAAAGCAAATGTTACTATCCAAAATTTCGAAGAAATCGTTTCAATACTTAAATTCGTCAAAAAATACATGAAATTCCATATATTTGATGGAATCGTTGATTTTATCAAAGAAAGCGATAAGCATTTGCGTGATTCTACAGATGAAATCAAAAAACTTCAAGCAAAATTAAATACATTACAAAAACAAAAACAAAATGCGGCCAAAGAAACTACAGTCACTCGAATTAATGAATCTCACAACTATCCTAAAGAATTTTTAACTAAAATTTCATCACTTAAGGAAACCAGAGATTTTGATAGTATTTACAAATTCTTTGAAGAACTTTCTTCTAAAGGCAATAGAGAAATGATTTCAAAGGCTTGCGAAGAAGGACTTTGGAAGAAGACAGCAAAAGCTTGTGAAGAAGAACATAGGTTAAAAAAGACATCAAAACCTTGGGAAGAAGAACTTTGTTTAGGAGATCTTATGTTAGAAGAGAGTAAGGATGATAAGAATGTACTTCATATTGCAAGCGAAAAAGGAAATCTTAATCTTGTCAAATCACTTATCGAATATGGCTGTGATAAAGAAACAAAGGATGATGATGGAAATACTCCACTCATTTTAGCATCAGAAAATGGTCATCTTGAAGTTGTTAAATATCTTATCTCTGTTGGAGCTGATAAAGAAGCGAAGGATAAATATGGAGATAATCCACTAATTTCTGCATCATCAAAAGGTCATCTTGAAGTTGTTAAATATCTTATCTCTGTTGGATTTGATAAAGAAGCAAAGAATAAATATGGAGATAATCCACTCATTTCTGCATCATCAAAAGGTCATCTTGAAGTTGTTAAATATCTTATCTCTGTTGGAGCTGATAAAGAAGCGAAGGATAATGATGGAAAAACTCCACTCATTTTAGCATCAGAAAATGGTCATCTTGAAGTTGTTAAATATCTTATCTCTGTTGGATTTGATAAAGAAGCAAAGAATAAATATGGAGATAATCCACTCATTTCTGCATCAGAAAATGGTCATCTTGAAGTTGTTAAATATCTTATCTCTGTTGGAGCTGATAAAGAAGCGAAGGATAAATATGGATGGACTCCACTCATTTCTGCATCATCAAAAGGTCATCTTGAAATTGTTAAATATCTTATCTCTGTTGGAGCTGATAAAGAAGCAAAGAATAAATATGGAGATAATCCACTCATTTCTGCATCATCAAATGGTCATCTTGAAGTTGTTAAATATCTTATCTCTGTTGGAGCTGATAAAGAAGCAAAGAATAAATATGGAGATAATCCACTCATTTCTGCATCAGAAAATGGTCATCTTGAAGTTGTTAAATATCTTATCTCTGTTGGAGCTGATAAAGAAGCGAAGAATAATGATGGAAAAACTCCACTCATTTCTGCATCATCAAAAGGTCATCTTGAAGTTGTTAAATATCTTATCTCTGTTGGAGCTGATAAAGAAGCGAAGAATAATGATGGAAAAACTCCACTCATTTTTGCATCATCAAAAGGTCATCTTGAAGTTGTTAAATATCTTATCTCTGTTGGATTTGATAAAGAAGCAAAGAATAAATATGGAGATAATCCACTCATTTTAGCATCAGAAAATGGTCATCTTGAAGTTGTTAAATATCTTATCTCTGTTGGAGCTGATAAAGAAGCGAAGAATAATGATGGATATACTCCGCTCATTTTTGCATCATCAAAAGGTCATCTTGAAGTTGTTAAATATCTTATCTCTGTTGGAGCTGATAAAGAAGCAAAGAATAATGATGGAAAAACTCCACTCATTTTTGCATCATCAAATGGTCATCTTGAAGTTGTTAAATATCTTATCTCTGTTGGAGCTGATAAAGAAGCAAAGAATAAATATGGAGATAATCCACTCATTTCTGCATCAGAAAATGGTCATCTTGAAGTTGTTAAATATCTTATCTCTGTTGGAGCTGATAAAGAAGCGAAGAATAATGATGGAAAAACTCCACTCATTTCTGCATCATCAAAAGGTCATCTTGAAATTGTTAAATATCTTATCTCTGTTGGAGCTAAGAAAAACGCAATGGATAAATTCGGGTGTACTGTACTCTCAGCTGCAAAAGATAATGTAAGAGTTTATCTAATATCTCTTTGAGCCAAATGTTTAAATTAACAATATTCTTATTTCCAATCTATTTTCTCGTATGAATATTATATGTTCTACATTTAATTAATTAAAATAAACAGATTTATTATTCACATTAATCAATAACAAAATAATATCATGTATTGTTCTTCTTCTATTAAAGAATGTTGGTATATTTTGAGATTTATTAATTTCCGCTGGGTAAGAAAGCAAATTCTTAATTCATGAGTCAAATTAGAATGTAAATTCAAAAGTGAGAAAATTTGAAAAATTCTTTTTCGATATTTCAATAAAAATATTTTGTAGACATAACTCAGCACAATGAACTAACCAAGATGTAAAATTCTGGAATCTGTCAAATTGATCCCTTGTTTATAACACCGATATAAAATTTTCATAAAAAATTGATTTGATAACTTTACAAAAAACTATTTGATAGTATGGAATGGGATTTTAAATTTCTTGAACTTGTGAGAAACTATGATAATATACTAGGTAGACCGAATATAGATGCGATTGTTGATGAATGGGAATCAACAAGTTCAGATTTCGCTGCAAAATTTTATATTCCTCGCCCAATGGGTCGAACAACTCTGCTCAAAGAGATTTTAAACTACATTGATGACAGTATGGACTTTAAATCTTCATTACGATCTGTTATTCCGGCTTTATTAATTGTATACGATAATACTGCCTTTAGTGAAGATGTTTATTCCTTAAAATATCAATCAGCCATGCGAGTCATACATATGTTATCCACATTATCCATGTCATGCATTGATTTGTTTGTTATCAAACCTTTTTATTGCAAATGCAAAACTTTCCTTGTTGATTCCTCAACTTATCTCGATTTACAAGATAGAGAGAAACGAAAGACCCTTCCTCATGTTACCTTTCCCAATGAACCTTTATCTGAATTAAAATCAAGCTCTCTTTATAGTAATGAACATAGATATCAATGTCATACGCCACCTGCTAGAACTAAGCGACCCAACTTGGTCCTTCATCCTCCAACTACAGAAACAAGTTCTCTGAAATCGCCTTATTTATCTCAAAGCGCGCCTTTATCGCCACTTCGAGAGTTTAGCAGATCTATTTCTTCTACATCGGGCCCAAGAAGCCCATTAGTTGTTTTTAAAGGTAATCGTAGTCATACTCCATTGAAAGCTGTAAGAAGCTCATGGAGCAAAGTATAAATGTTTGTATTTATGTATGTTAATAACAATAGTATTTATATATAATAATAATAAACAAAATAAAAATATAATAAAAAATAATTACTTCTTTGCTTTTGGTATATTAGGCTTGCGAACTGCATTCGGCTGTATAATCTGTGGAGCTTGGTTCTTAATCTTCAATGATAAATTTGGCTGGACAATTTTAGCTTGATTTTGATGTTCAAAGCCAGGGGTACTCTTGGAAAGTCCTTCTCTTGTACTTTTAGGTGAGTGGCTCGATTGATGAATGAATAGCGTTATCTGAATATTAGATAATTGATTTGAAATCTGAATATTTCTCAAAAACAAATAATATGCTACAAGTTTTGTATCTATGTGGTGATTAATATCGTAGAGTAGATTTTCAACGCTATATCCATAATCATTGAAAAGATTCAAAACTTCTTGGTCAAGTTTTCCGTCTGGATATTTGTCAAGTTTTCTGAGGCCTTCAAAGCTTGGAATCAGTTTGATTCCTCTTATAATTGGATTTAGCCAATTATGTAATAAAATTTGAGAAATGTTTGGCCGTTTTATTGGATCTTTATCTAATAATGAATCTAAAAGATCTATTACGTCATCACTTATCGTTTCTGGGTAGTTTACTGGATCTGTAACTGTATGATGAAAAATTTCGGCTGAATTTGTTCCTGAGAAAGGCAATCTGCCGACAAGCATTGAATATAAAAGGACTCCAATGCTAAAAATGTCGGAGCTGAATGTATATCTGTTGCCCTTAATAACTTCTGGAGGAATATATCCTGGAGTACCAAAACCACTATATGAAAGTGGTAAATTATCGGAATCTAAATGCGCAAAACCGAAATCTATAAGATGTAAATTATTATGCGTATCTATAATGATGTTTTCGCATTTTAAATCCTGATGTATCATTCCTAATTCGCAATGTAAATGTTGTATGATTGAAACAAGTTCAGCAAACAAATATCTAGCATAATTTTCTTTGATTACTCCGTTCTTATTAATGAAGTCAAGAATTGTACTTCCTTCAATAAATTCTAGAACAGCACCTACATTATCACCTGACTTGAATTCACCATAAAACTGGCAAGTAAGAGGATGGTTAAGGAGTTTCATCATTCTAAACTCGTTTTCTGTTTCAGCTTTTCGCTTCTCATCAATTTTCAGGCAAACATGTGTCTTCATTTCTACGCAATATGCATTCCAGATAGAAGCATAGCCACCTCTTGCTATTTTTCCGAGAACCACGATCTCTCCGAGTATTGGGTGATTCAATATCGGAGGATCATTCATAATTCTGAACTTTAAGTCCCGATATAGTTTTTATGACTATCAGGTTATTCGAAATTAATTTATTTTAAAAATAACGATGTAAATATTGTTACAATTTTACAAAAAAAATCTCTCATTGAATATTTTCAATTTGAATGATGATGTATGTATTTGTACCAATAATTGTTGTTCTTCAATTTTTCTTTTAAGCTTTCATATTTATTATATTTCCGCGAACATTCAAATTTTGAAATAAATTTTTTTACAGATTAATGAAATTTTGATTTTAGAATTGATTTAATAATATGATCAACATCGGCATCGTGTGCTCGTTTAAGGCAATTAGCCAAGATACTAAAAATCTAATGTATTGAAAAGAAAAATCTATTGCAAACGTATTTTTGTCAGATTGAATCTTCTTAATATATGTATGTGGATATTCCGTCAGTTATGTCGAAAATTGAATACTGCAGTTATTGAAATCACAAACCCTTTTCAAATAAAATTATATGTTGGATAAATGCATTGTATCATATGTACAGTATAAAAAACGCGTTTTCTTTGATTTGAAGAAAATTTTTAAATTGAGAAAGTGCAATCATGATCTTATTGGTAGTAGTTATTTTCACAAAATATCCATCATTTGATTTAATTGAATTGAAGTTAATATGAATTGAATGCACCTTTCAAAATTTGATAAAAAATTATTGACAATTCAATTGAATTATTTCACTTGTGATGCAAGAGTCAGAGCGACAGCAAAAAACGAAGCATAAATTCACGGCAGAGGAAGACCATCTTCTCGAGGCCCTAGTCAGTGAAAAAGGTGAGAATGCATGGGATCAGATTTCTTATTTGATGCCTGGCAGGAATTCAAGGCAGGTAAAAGATAGATGGACTAGATATTTATCACCAGATATAAACAAAGCTGATTGGACTTTTGATGAAGAGGAATTATTGATCAAATTAGTAAAAAAGTTAAACTTTCATTGGGTTAATATCGCAAAGCATTTTAAGGGGCGTACAGACAACCAAATTAAGAACAAGTGGAACAATCTTAAAAAATATGTTGACTTTTTAGATGTTAAAAAAGAAAGAACATGTAAGCAGAATCTACCAGCTCCACCAAAAGAATGTTTAAGTTCTGCATTAAATACACAACTTAACAGCTGGACTATCATTGATGAGGTTTTTCGGGATACAATAGAAGTTCAATTTTACGATTTTTAGGATGTAATGCACTAGTTAATAAATATTTGCGGTTTTCTCTTTCTTATTTAATAATTTTTCCACTAAATTTTCGTTAATTGTTCTAAAATCTTTATACTTAAGATTTTATCAACATTGTCTAGCTTAAGGGGCGCATAAATTGAATTTTGAATAGATAAATTATATTTCAATTTAAATAATTAAAAATTGATATCTCTTTATTAAAAAAACCGTATAATTTTTTAATAAGGATTAATCATATAAGCTGAATCATAGTATTTGCAATGAATCATTGGCTTTATAAAAGCATGGCATATCTTTATTTGAAGATGTAATAGATTTAAAAGAGCAAAATTGGTATTTTTGAATGGGTATTAATCTAGCATAGAACAATTTATATTTAGTTTTACTTTCTATTTTCTTATATTGCAATTCTCATGGTAAAATTTTAATAAATTTGATCAAAATTTGTAAATAGATCAAATAACTTAAATTAAATAATTGTGTGAATAAAATTTATAAAATTCTAAACTAAAATAAATATCAAAAATTCAATCTTAAATAAAGATTTGATCAATTCAGTATTTTGAACAACAGAAGCAATACAGCAATAGCCGAATGACTTTATATTAACCCCTGATAAAATGAGAGGGTCAACAAGAGTTGAATGGCAATCAACACCACATGAAATTCTAGTATCCATAAATGCGGAAGCACCTATTGTCGGCTGTCGGTATATTCTTACAAATTTAAGATTTTTCAAACCTTTGAAAGCTTCAACTCCAATCTTTGTGACTGAAGGAGGTATGATGATCGATTGCAACTTGGCAGCTGTCTTTAAAGCGTTGTCTTCTATGACTTTTGTTTCATTGCCAAGAGTAATAATTTCAACAGATTGGTAATCAAGGCATGGGATACTCTCCATTTCAATAGTCAGATTTCTCAAGTTTGGGCATTCTGTAATCGAATTGTTTAAAATTTTGACTACACTTTTTGGTATTCTCAAAAATGCGAGGTTATCCATATAGAAAAATGGAGTTTTTGCAATTTCTGTGCATGACTCAGGAACAATTATTTCCTGAAGCTTAGAGTAACAGAAGGCATCATGGCCGATTACTTTCACTGTGTTTGGAATATAATATGTTCCTGTTATCTGAGCTGGGAACGTATAAAAGAGAGTTTTATCATAACTTAACAGAGCATTCGAATTAATGGAACAAACAGAAGATTGTTCGGAAACAATCTCAATCAGATTAGGATTACACAAAATTGCATATTGATGCAACATTGTGAGAGATGATGGCAAATAAATATATTTACATTTAGCATATAGGCATGATCTAGAACCTATAGACAATAAACCTTCGTTGAATCTCAATTCATCACCATTATAGAAGCCAAAAACTCCAAATTCTGTAGTTTCTCCATTTATATATCTCAATGATGAAGGAAACGTATATGACTTAACAGATATCAAGTGATAAAAGCAAGCGTAATCTAAGATCTCAAGTTTAGACTGCGTAGGGAAAACGACACGAGAAATTGAAAAACAATCGGCAAAACAAAATGATCCAATATTTTCCAGGGAACTGCAGTTAGAGAAATCAATTTCTGTAAGAAGATTGCACTTGTAAAAGGCATAATGACCCAGAAATTTAAGAGATGATGGACTTTCAAAGTAAACTTTCTTTAATTTATTAACGGATTTTAACGCAAAGTATTGACTTGATGTACCATTAGAAATTTTGACCACATTGGCCGAAACGATGTATTCGGATACAGAGCTCCCAATATCTTCAAGTGTTGCTGATATTTCCTGCTATCTCATTATAAAAATCTGTCACTTTTCCTTTCAAAGGTAACTTCAGAAAAGTTATAAATGGAACAGTTTAGACAGATTCAAATTCATTGCTATCAACAGCTTTGTATTTTGAAGATTTCAAAAGCGGATTGGATAGAATGATAAATTTCTGGATTAATTTGCCTGTACAATCGTCGTTCATGAGTATTGTAAACATATTAGTGGAGAAGTTATTGCAGATTCTTGATATAAATACCAGAAATAGAAAAATTAAATGGAGCAAGATTCAAATTAACTATATATTTCTTGCAAACATCTAGGTCTGCATTAATACTTCTAATAGAATAAGTGGATACTATCAAAACTTTGAAATTATCTACGAGCGGCCACATTCATCTAATAATTGACAAAATTAATAGAGTAACACTTTGCCAATATTCATAAAACACAATACAAGTTATTTTGGTCGAATATTTTGAAGTTCATTGTCCTTTACTAAAAATTTGTAAATTTTGAAGTTTGATAAATCGATTCCAATATAATATTTTTAATAACTACTATGTGAAGGATTAAATTATCATATTAAAATTAAAGAGGATTTGAATCCGTCTTTTTTACGCTCATAAAAACAATGCATTTATATCAATGAAATATACGCTTGTAGAATAATTTAATTTGTATTGTCAATGTATCATTGAAAAAGAAACTTTCATTGTCAGTTTTTCAAAAACAATTTTCATCGAATATCAATGTGATATATAATGATGTGAAAATAAAAAATTAGATGTCAATTGTCTGTTTTCAATTTGATGGGGTGTGGGTTTTTTCTCTCACAATTTCAGAAAAAATTGAAAGCAAATTGAAAATTCTTCTGTATAATTTTAACAATATTTTCGGAGTTGATCCATGGTATAAATTAATAGTATATAAACCAGTTAAAATTTATTAATGCTGTTTGAATTATAAGGATATGATATTGACTACTAGAAATAATGTTTTCTCTGGTTTTTTATTGATCTGTTTTCTGACACCACTGATTCAAACTCATTTGAAAAGCCAGACCTAACGTACTCTCAAAAATTTTAATAAAATTGAATTAAACTTTTGAAATGAATAAAAAAATCATTCTTCCAAATGGGTTTCAAGATTACTAATCCATACCTAACTGCTTCTATCCTCACCATGGGTGGAGTAGACATGGGTTTTGTTTTGATTTTCACTGCTTTTACTTTCTTTGGAGAAACAGGCATTGGAGCTCAATATGTAAATGATAAACCTACTCCAGAAGCAAATTCATTCACAGCTATTGGATATGTTGGTGCACTTATTGGTTCACTCTTGATCCATCCATTTGTTGGAGTATTCGGAAAAAGATGGTGCTGTTTTGTTTGTGCTTTCTTCGGAACATTAGCATGGATTGTTTTAGGACTTGAATTAAAGACATATGCATGGGTTTATGCATTTAGATTCTTCACTGGTATGACAGCAGGACTTTATGCAACAATTTGTCCAGGTTTTACAACATCTTTAGCTCCAGAAGGAAGGATTAATTTATTTGGTTTCCTCAACCAAGTAGGTATCTGTATAGGTTTCATTCTTGTTACAGTTTTTGGTATCTACTTCAAAGATTGGCACTATGTTTCCTTAGCCTGCTGCTTCCCTTCAGCAATCCTCTTCCTATTTGTTTTACTTATCGAAGAACCTAAAGCATCAAGAAGTGCAGCACCATGTTTTCAAGTTTTTAAATACTGGAAGGAATTGATTATTGCCTTCTTCTGCGTTTTCTTCTTGCAGTTTTCAGGCGTGAATGCTGTCGCCTCAAACTTGGGTGGCATCACAGCTGGAATGGGACCAAAGGGTGCTATTATCTCCATCATGTCAAATGTTGTTAACTTCCTTGGTACATTAGTATCTTCCCTTGTTGTTGATAGATTTGGAAACTTCCCATGCTGGACTGTTTCTGCATTAGGACAATTCTTTGGTTTCATCCTTCTTGTCATTTACGCTTACAAATTTGCTGAAAGTGGAAAAGGACTTGCTCTTTTCTTAGTTGGTTTATACTTTGAACAGTTCTTCTTTGGTATTGGAACTGGTCCAATTCCATTCTCATATGCAGCTACAATTTTCAAACCAGAACTTATTCCAGCTGGTATGGCTTTCACATCTGCCTGCAACTGGGGATCTGGAGCTATTCTCCTCTTCTTGAATGCTGCCTTGTTAAAGGCCGGCGCATACTATAGAGTTTCATATATCTTCTTCGCTGTTTTCTTATTCATTTCAATGATATTCGGCTTAATTGTCTTCAGGAAGAAACCTGATGACAGCTCAAAGTCTAAGTCAGATTCAGGTTCTGGCGCTGAAGTATAATTACCCAGATTTTCCTTACTTTTACCACTCCCCATGTAATTTCTGGGGAAAACGATAATTCATTTTTTTTATGGATGAATAGATCGTTTTCCTAGAAAGGACCTCATATCTCTGGCTAAAAAGAGTGTCAGATCCTAAATAGATTATTGATCTAGTGTACAAATCCAATAAAAAGCCTATTTTTTTGGCTTTTTTGGTGCTCATTTTTTCGAAGATCTACATGAATATGGGGAAACCATCGGATTTTTTTGGTTAACCCACATCTTCATGTAGTCTGGACTATCTTTCCTCGAAGGACCTCTTTACGGGTGTAAAAACTCATAAAGTTCTCAAAAGATTCATTCTCGATCTCCATGCTGAAAGAATTTACAATAAAAAAGAGATCTACGCATCAAACTACAGCCATAAATGAACTGAACCCCTAAAGCTCAGCTCTTAGTTTATCAAAAACGTCGAAATCCTTCTCATTGCAATCAAATTTTCTCAATAACTCATAAGAAAAATCGAATTTTGATTAAGCCGATGTTATAGGTATCACAAATACTACAAACTTGAGCAATATCGAAATTGCCAGCAAAAGTTTGAAATTGCATTGCTCATATTTGTTTTGTAAACTAAAAATCTGCTTATATTATTCATTAATTTTTTATATATTATTCATATACTTTAATAAAAACAATACTATTTCACCTTAAAAATGAATTTCATAAGTCAATATTATTTTTTTGAAAATGTATCAATTTTCGATTAAAACAACATGAGAATAAAATTTACGCAAAATTATTTTAAAAAATGGTTTTAAAAATTTACAATTGATGAAGAATAAGATTGCAAGAAGTTTTGAAGTTTAATTTTAAGAAAAAAAATTCGGATATTATTCATGGATCTAAGTAATCTGATATTTGAGTATCGGCACTATGCATAAAACATATATTTATAGTTTTTTTGGAGTTTTATGATTTTAAATATATTCAAATTTGGCAATCCAATAGATTTTTAAAAAATAGGTAAATAAAAATAGATTACATATGCAGCAGATTTAGAACATGAAACAAATCATATAGTGACCCAAAAAAAAATTCATGATCCAAAAAAGAAAAAAATTGGCTAAATGGGAATCAAACCTTGGCATAATGAATCATTATGTCGGATGTTTCCACTACACCGGCAGTTCGAAAAATACCCTTGGTGGTTCTATTTAATAGCTACTCCCAACGATAGGCGGTGTCCCCAGCTTTAGAGAGGTGGTAAAAGTAAGGCAAATCTGGGTATATAATATATGATTATTTAATCAGTTTATTTCATATTATTTCTATCTAAAACTAAACGGTCTACATTATTTTAATTATTTTTATCATTATTTTCCATGATCTACCGAACACTTTGATTATTGAATAAAAGGTTACAAAAAAGAATATCAACGAATATATAAAAAACATTAACATTAAACGAATATATAAAAAATATTTACACGATAATAGCAGTTACGGGTATTTCCATATCTACATCTGGGGTTAGAAGTCGGAAACTGGTCGAAATCTCTCCTCTTTCGCATGGAAGTAACTGGAGTCTTATTTTAAGCTTAAATCCAGCCATTACAATGCCAGGAGCTGTCAAAATTTTTACATTTTTATCTTCTGGTTGTATAATGGAATATTTGAAAGGAACAAAGCCTGTATTAGTTATTTCAAGGCTTGTAGATGCTTCTCTACCAGCAGGAACCTCTCCAAAGTCAACTCTTTGCGGATGTTCATCAGATTTCATTGTTCTTCGACTTCTTCCATGTCTTCGTGGCGCTCTTGCCGACTCTGGATATTTCTGTTCATCTGGCTGCGTCATAAATGTTGATCTGTTCTTTGTTGAAGTCATAATATTATTATCTTTATTTTCGTTGTCGTAGAACGATGAATCTGGGATATCTTTATCTGTCATAATGAAATGACGTGGTGGATCAAACAATTTCATCCTCGCTGATGGAGGACGAGGTTGTTTGACTTCAATTTCTTTAACATAGACAAAATTGGCCTCAGGAGATTCCCAATAATTCCTTGCTTGAATACTACTCGATCCTTTGAGGTTTGCTGCAATGAGAACCCCTGGTGGAGGAGTTTGCGGTGGCATTACGTCAAGATCAGGAACTCTTGGAGGTTTTGGTATCCTTGACTCATGCCATGTCTTCTTTGCAAGAGAAATTGCGGCTTCTTTGGCTTCCGAAACTAATGTGAAAAAAGAATTCATCGATGCAATGGCAGAAACGGCTTTTTCGTTAACATCTGTGGTTGTTTCTACTAATTTTTCACCTTTCTTCGGTTTTCTTTGCCTTGGTGCTGCAATTTCTTTTAATGCTTCAGCTCTATGCGTTTTATCAAGCGGATTGAAGGAAATAAACGAGATAGGACGCATAAACTCATCTATTAAGATATCATAGATGACATTTTCTCCATTAATCGAAGCCTGAACTTTGAATAATTCTGATTTTGGAGGAATTAAGTTCAAATCAGAATCATTTGCAGAATTTACTGGTTTGGGCTGCTTCTCTGTTCCATTTCCAAGCGAATATGTGTTTGGTAAATCGATTTTAGTCACTTTTCCTTGAGAATCTGAAGGAGATTCTTTTTCAAATGGCTTTTCTTCAGTAGATTTGAGAGAATAAGCATACTCTGGGTGTAAAAACTCTGTTCCTGATAAGTTTGGTCTTATCGCGAAGAACCTTGGCGGATTCTGTTTCTGTAAATTCAACAAAACATTTTCCGGTAAAACTTCTTTCACCGGAGGAAGTAGGCCAAACTTGGTTTCTGCGAACTCTGGCCTCTTCTTTGGTGGAGGTTCACCTTCAAATATGTCTGCCAACCTCTCAATACCTGTATTTGTTGCAATAAAACCTGTTTTTCCTGATTTAATTTGAATTTCATTGCAATTCATCGACATTTCGGTTTTTCCGTCTGTAATATTAACATCACTGGATACAACAATAACCAAATCACCTTTCTTTATTTCGATTTTGTCGGATATTGAAATTTGATATTGGCCAATTTGGAAATTTATCATCTCTGGTGTGGATAATATTGTTTGTAAACCTGGAAGGATGAACTCTTGGACCTTATCGTTCTGTTTTATTGTAATATTTTTGAGATTAATTGTTCTGGATTGGTCTTTCAGGTTAATTGCGTATTTAACATCATCATTCCTTATGTAATCACGTTTCTTTTCAACTAGATTTGTCTTTTTATGAACTTTTTCAGAGCCATTTCCAAATTTATCGTTGAAAATCGAAGAATCTTTCGTTGTATAGCCTGCAACACCTGAAAATGAAGTGTATAGTGTTGATTTATCAAGTTTATAAACGAAATCTCCATTTCTATCGATGATTATGTTGTTATTTATTGTTAATTTTCCTGATTTTAATGAAAATGAGTTATTTTCATGGAAAATATTGATAGAATCACTGTTTGAATTTACTCTGAACTCTCCAAAATCAATAGAAATCGAATCATCTTCAGAATGAACGTCAAAATCTGTTGCAAACACATTATACTTGAAGAGATATGTTCCATTCCATATCTCTCTTAATATATCAACTCTAAAATTGTCAAAGAAGTAAGGAGAAACGAAATCTGTTGAAAAATTATAAGAAGAAGGAAGTCCGTAGATTTTAGAGCTTGTTTTGATGATCTCTTGTATATTTTGGAAGATTTGAGTAGGACTTTCGTTGTTTTTAATAAGATTTAAAATTGAATTATTTTTGTTCTTTTTATCAGGAGTTTGTGATGCTTCTGATGTTTCATTCATGTTTAAAAACAACTCATTTCCGTTTTTCATTGTAACTGGCATGTATTTATACTGAATTTGCTTTCCAAGAGATTTTTGAGCGGGAGGAAGGGCCAAAACATAGACAATTCCAGTCATATTGTCAACAGATACTTCAACAATGTTGTACATCTTCATAATATTATTCAGAATTGGAATAGAATCATCATAATTTATCATTTTCGTAAATTTTGTAAAATCATAGTAATTTATTGGCAGACCAAGCGAATACTGTTTATTTGCCTTTGTAAAAAGTAACTCAAACTGTTGTCCGGCCGCAGTATTAAATCCTTCAATGGATGTGTAGTATTCTGCAGCTTTTGCTGCTGATTCTGCGCATTCACTTGGTATATTCCATGAGTTAATCATGTTTTCGACAAAAAATGATGGTGAAGATTTGGAATTTTTGAAGAATTTTGGTTTTATTTCTTCTTGTGGGATTTGTTTGTTGGCAAGCTTGTTGTAGAACTGATCAAGAATGTCATTAATAAGATCTAGCTCTGAAATTTCCGGTTTTGGAAAAATTTGAAAATTATTTTTGTGAAGTTGTTCGAAAATTGCTGTGATATAGTCATTTTCATCCTTTTTAAGGGTCTCTGTGTATGTAGAAAGGTCCAATTCGTGATCAATTTCAGGTAAAGTTGGAACATTTTCAATTTTTATTGATTTGCATTCTTCTTCGATCTTTTTCTTTGCAGACAGTATATTTCCTATTTCCAGTTGAAGAGTGTTCCATGCTTGTGCTGGTTCTTCTTCTAATTTAATTTCACTAAAAATTGTCGTAAAATCTGCAGTTTCTTGCAGTTGTACCCACGATAACGGTATATTTGTATCTGGTACTGTCTTGCCTATTATTTTTAGATAAGGAAGCGTCGTAGTTACTTTATTATTTGAAGATTTTGTTGGAGGAACTGTTGCTTTAAATCCTGTAAGATTTATAAATGCTGATATGTGTATATCGTTTTCTACTAATTGTTGATAGTGTATTGGAACTAAAGGCCAATTAATTAGTGCAATTACGGCTTCTGTTTGTCCTCCAAACATTATTGGAGGTGGAGGAGGTGGATTTTTCTCTTTCTTTGTATTTTCTGCTGCTTTGATGTTCTTTTTCTTTAGATCTAATAATTTTTGTATTGAAGAATCGATATTTGTCTTAATTGACTTCGAAACTAGTGATGATATCTCGATTAGATTCTCGTGTGGTGTAGATGGATCGAGTTTAGGAAGTTTAAGTGATTCAAAAATTTCAATCGCGTCAATAAAAACGCAATCTTTAGAAAAATTCTTACTCACGTATTCTTTGATGTGTTTTATATCTAAAACTTGTCCGATATCCACTGAAACAATTGTAGTTTCAAGTGAAACATCAGACATCAATTCAATTTTACAAACGAAAATTCAAATTGTAAACTGTTACACTCAAGATCTCAATAAATTTTGACATCATCAATTAGTAAATATCTGAGATTATATGATAGCTAATATTTTTTGATTAAAAAGATCGTATTAAATAAAAATCTGACAATAAGTAAACTCAACCACAATATATCTCTTATATTCCTCTTAGAATATAACATTTTATCTTCATTTTTATTAATGAAATAGTTCCTTCCTCGCAATTAGGGGGATTCATGCATAGGTCCTACGCATAAAAATATCCGATGATATCAATTAGATACGATGATGAGTCAAAAGCTTCAGTCCCCAATGCTATTAATAAAACAGGAAAAGTCTACTTCCTCAAATATCCATGTTCCACTTCAGATTGCACACCATTTGTTGCAACGTTCAAACCTGGAATATATAAGGTTGAACTTTGGGGTGCATCCGGTGGTTTCCTAAATAATCTTGGTGCACATGGATCATATGCCAGCGGTCTTCTCCCAATATTCAAACCACAGACCGTCTATATATACCTTGGCCAACAAGGAAAATGGTCAGGTCTAGCCACATTTAACGGTGGCGGTGCAGGTCCAACAGCTAACAAAAGCGAAGATTTTTATGTGTCCGGTGGTTCTGGCGGTGGCTCAAGTGATATCCGCCTCACCAAAGGACCTTGGAAGAACTTTGAGAGTTTGAAATCCTGAATCATTGTTGCTGCCGGTGGTGCTGGCGATGCTTATTATAGAAATAAGTTTGATTCGCAAAATGATCCTAATAGTATCATAGAAGGCGGTGCTGGTGGTATCCTAGTTGGATATCCTGGCACTATACACTATGTTGACAATGCCAATGGTATATCCAACGCCACTGGAGGAACTCAAACTTCAGGGGGTCTCGGAACAAATTCCTCCGGGAGAGATGGTGGATTTGGGTACGGTGGCGATTGTGGCAGTGATTATCATGGCAGCGGTGGTGGCAGTGGCTACTACGGCGGTGGGAGTGGTGGATTTATATTTGAACGTGTTACAAGTGGTGCTGGAGGTTCTTCGTATATCTCAGGATACGAAGGATGTAAAGCAATCTCAAAAAGCTCCACTGAGAACCATATTCTCCATGAAGAAAACTCATTCCATTACTCCGGAATGTCATTTTATTCTCCAGTGATCAAAGACGGGAAATCTAGTATTCCATGTCCAGATTCATCAAATCCGTTTGCTTGCACCGAAACAGGTCATTATGGTAACGGCTATGCTCGTATCACCATTTATGAACAGCACAATCCCATAACTATTGTGCAGTGTCGCCCATTGTTATCATTCACATCAATTTCTGTTTTCATCTTTATGTTTTCAGATTAAATATTAAATTATCTTTCAAAAGTTGAATTCAATCAGAGAGCTAATAAAAATAAATACCATTATGAATTCTGCATTATTAACTCTGATTTATTTCAATTGAAAAAATTGAGTTAAAAATTATTGGTTAATTTCTAAAATAACACTACTAATAGCCGTTTTAATACCTTTAATGAAGTTTTTATCTTTTTAATTTCATAAATTACTCAATCCTTATTCAACAAATCTATCATCCTATCATACCTTAAGATTTATATGAAAAATATCATTGATACTCAAGATTAAATCTATTGCGCAAATAATAACATATCTTCCCCATTGTTATAAAGAAAACTCACCAACAAAGATATTATTAAGGCTTAATAATATGATATCCTGCGATTATTTGGCAATATCTCTTATATTCCTCTTAGAATATAACATTTTATCTTCATTTTTATTAATGAAATAGTTCCTTCCTCGCAATTAGGGGGATTCATGCATAGGTCCTACGCATAAAAATATCCGATGATATCAATTAGATACGATGATGAGTCAAAAGCTTCAGTCCCCAATGCTATTAATAAAACAGGAAAAGTCTACTTCCTCAAATATCCATGTTCCACTTCAGATTGCACACCATTTGTTGCAACGTTCAAACCTGGAATATATAAGGTTGAACTTTGGGGTGCATCCGGTGGTTTCCTAAATAATCTTGGTGCACATGGATCATATGCCAGCGGTCTTCTCCCAATATTCAAACCACAGACCGTCTATATATACCTTGGCCAACAAGGAAAATGGTCAGGTCTAGCCACATTTAACGGTGGCGGTGCAGGTCCAACAGCTAACAAAAGCGAAGATTTTTATGTGTCCGGTGGTTCTGGCGGTGGCTCAAGTGATATCCGCCTCACCAAAGGACCTTGGAAGAACTTTGAGAGTTTGAAATCCTGAATCATTGTTGCTGCTGGCGGTTCTGGCGATGCATATTATCGGTTTGACTCAAATAGCTATGCTGAAAGTATCATAGAGGGCGGTGCTGGTGGTGTCTTAGAGGGCTATCCGGGCGCCATACGCTATAAAGTCAATACTAATGGCATCTCAACTGCAACTGGAGGAAATCAAACTTTAGGTGGCTTCGGAACAAATTCCTATGGAAAAGATGGTGGATTTGGGTACGGTGGCGATTGTGGCAGTGAGTATCATGGCAGCGGTGGTGGCAGTGGCTACTACGGAGGAGGGAGTGGTGGATTTATATTTGAACGTGTTACAAGTGGTGCTGGAGGTTCTTCGTATATCTCAGGATACGAAGGATGTAAAGCAATCTCAAAAAGCTCCACTGAGAACCATATTCTCCATGAAGAAAACTCATTCCATTACTCCGGAATGTCATTTTATTCTCCAGTGATCAAAGACGGGAAATCTAGTATTCCATGTCCAGATTCATCAAATCCGTTTGCTTGCACCGAAACAGGTCATTATGGTAACGGCTATGCTCGTATCACCATTTATGAACAGCACAATCCCATAACTATTGTGCAGTGTCGCCCATGGCTATCATTCGTATCAGCTGCTATTTTCGTCATTTTGTTTTCCGAATAAAAATTAATTAATTAATTTCTCTTCTGAGCCCTGTATTCAGTGAGAATGCTATTTAATATAAATGATAATATGAATTCTGTATATTTAACTCTGATTGGTTCTAATTGGGAAATTGAGTGAAAAAATTATTGGTTGATATCTAAAATTACAGTACAAATAGCTGTTACAATATATTTTATGAAATTTCGATAAGGATGTCAATTCGGAAAATTGTTTTCATTTTAGGAGAATATAATTTTCCTTTTGGAAAATTTAAAAAGTGAGACGCGCAGGATTCGAACTTTTTTAAAAGTTGATTTAAATATATTCTAGTGTGGATTCTAAGGATAATGTCATATTTAAAATAAGAATATACTAGTTTAGGTGGTATAATTTTTTTCGATAAATTTGAGAGCATGTACGTTTAGGGCACCAAAAGTGTCAATTCGCTCAGCGAAAGCTGAGCTAGCTTCGTTCTCGAAAGAATAGGGAAGGAGTGAAAGAGAGTGATACAGATGTTGACACATTCATATCATTTCAATAAATTTTGATCAAATTGAAATGCAATGAAATTCAATTCACTTCATATCCTTCAGTCAGTACATTGACATCCTTCTACATCACAATGATAACTCGTGCATCAATAGTTCTACAACTAACTCAGAAAAAACAAGATTTTTCCTTCCAGCTTACAGCTTTTAAAAAGTTTCGATGATAAAAATCACTCTACTCTTGTTTATCGATATGTTGTGATAGTAGGTAAACGTATTCTTATCGATATTAATAAAAATATTTTTACGAAAATCTGAACCAATTACAGAGTTATTCATAAAGTTTATGATAACTGTAATTACTTCATCTTTGTTTTATATTTGAATAAACAATTTAATTTAATTTGCATAATTTTTTTTAGTTGAAAGACAGGAAACTTAGTTGAGTTTGTATTATTTTTATCGTTCAATTCATTGTATATGTGAGTGATCCAGATATTTAAGATATTTAGAAAAAATTTATTAATTTGATTAACAAATTTTAATCAAAATAGCATATTTGATAGCTGTAAGCAAATAATAATTTCTATTTCAAGCAAAATCACTTATTTTCATCTAAACGTATAAAATTGTCAATTTTATGAGAATAAATTTAAAATCTCATGAAATATAAAGGAGAGTAATATTTTTCAATTTTCTTTTTTTCTTTCTCTCAAATATTTTCTATTGGGAATTTTCTTGTTATCAAAAAATAATTTTAATATTTGTTTATTTCATTACATACAATAAAATTTTAAAAACTCTATTTCTTCACAAGAAAATTTTTTTCCTTCATATGAAGAAACATTTTGTTCTCCATTTGATGCTGAGTCTAAATCTCGATTTTTGAATTTTCTTCTTTCCAAATTTCTTTTTTCCAAATTAGAAGTTTAATTCAAATTTTCAATAGTTTATATATTTTCTCAAACCGTCTTAGATTTTCTTACTTTTTGGGGATTTTCTCTCAAAATATACAAAAATAGTAATATCAATACATGTGTCTAATATACTTTAAAACCATCGTGATAAAATTCAAAAACGAAGAGTTCTTCTCTCCAAATTTTTTTCAAAATCAAAACAATCAGATAAAAAAGTACGTTTGGAAAATTCATTTTTAGCATTTTAGGAATTTTCTCACTTTTCTTCCAAATTGACATCCTTAATTTCGATACTTTAAATTTTATAAATTACCTAATTTTAAATCTAAATTTCTATCTTACCATCAAATTTAAAGATTTAACTCCAAAATATCAATTTACATATAAATTAAAATCTATTGCTCAAAAAAATAGTATATGTCCCCGATTGTTTTTTATGGTTGGATAAATTTTTCATCAATGTTTTGAAGGCATCGATGTCCATTGAATGAATTGATCAATAAAAATGCATTGTTTTTGATGTCTATAATCCTTTGAACTCCATTCAAAAAAACTGTTGATATCATTCAAATTTGAATTCAATTTCAATTAATACAATACATAATAAAATTCCTATATTATATCTTTCTTATTCTTTTTGTAAAAAATTAATTCAATCAGAAACGTTTTTAAGGTTTCAATTCAAATGTAATCGTAATAGTCTCTGTATATATAATACATTAATCATTTACGCTCCATTTTCTCATTGAAAGCTTTACAAAAATCATTTTTCAATATGATAAGTTTTCTGATCGGATTAGTCTCATCAAACAGACCTGTTATTCTTTTACCAGGTATATATGGTTCAAACCTATATTCAACATATGACAATTTTGCAAAGCACTGGTACTGTCCAAAAACAACAGATCATTCCATTTTCTGGGTAAACCTTAAATACGCTATTCCTCCAACATACAACTGCCTCTTTGAATTACTTGCTGCACATTACGATGCTGCAACCGACAAGGTAGGCAACCCTGAAGGATTATCCGTTGAAATTGAAGATTTTGGTGGTGATGGTGGTATTTCTTATGTTGATGCCGGCGTTTTTGGATACCACTTCATCGAGTCATTTGGCCCTCTTATTGATTACTTCAAAGGCAAAGGATATACAATCAAAAAAAATTTATTTGGTGTCCCATATGATTGGCGCCTTGCCTTAGATCCACTTCGTGAAACCTTCTTCCCGCAACTCAAGCAGCTTATAGAAAATGCTTATTCCTCCAACGGCAATCAAAATGTTGTTGTTTTAGGATATTCATGCGGCGGCCTCATGCTTCATAACTTCTTTACAACCTACGTCGATCAGGCCTGGAAAGACAAGTATATCCACAAAGTTATCATGCTTGCCCCTGCTTTCGCTGGTTCTTCCGAAACTCTTGATGTCGTATGGAACCAGTACTTCCCAATCATTCCTATCCTTAAGAACGACGTCCTTAGAGAAAACATTCCAAAGATTCCAGTTATTTCCGGATTGATGCCAAACCACGTTGTTTTCGCTGACGATACCATTATCATTGAGCCAGATGGCACAGAAATCAAGGCACCACAAGTCCAAGATTGGTTTATCAAACAAGGCAAATATTCCGGTGAAGGCGAGCAAATGGTTAGAAAGAACATGAAATGGTTACAAAAGAAACCAGAATCCCTCGGTGTCCCGCTTTACATGATCTACAACTCCGGAAATGAAGCAACTTATCAGATGAAGTTCAAGGGAAGCTGGGATGAGGTCGAATATACAAAGCAGCCAGGTGATGGTACAGTTCCGTCGAAGGGACCAGAGTTCGCTTGCAACAACTGGATGGATAATAAGGGAAATCCAATTATTTGCCACGATGTAAAGAATCCTGGTGATGATTGGAAGCACGCACCATTGTCTACAAACGAATACATCCACCAACTCATCTACAACGTTGCCAACGACCAGCCAGTTAATGAATGGTCAAAACTTGAAGGAAACTGGATGTTTACAAGCGAAAACGTTGAGACTGTCAATGGTACAGTTCTTAGAGCTGGACAAGTCACAAAGAGGAGAATTCTTTAATTCTTTTATTTTTATCTTTTTTAATTTAATAAAAAATCATTATCAATTTGCGAATTTATGTTCTTATACATACATATAATATGCAAACAATATGTTTTATTAGATAAAACGAAACAATACAAAATATTTTTATAAAATATTAGAAATTATTGGAAAATTTGTGCACAAAATTAAATAATATGCAAAAACAAAAGTAATCGATTGTAACTATTCGAAAAATAAAAAAAAATAATTAAAAATAATTGAAAATTATTAAAAACATGCCACTGAATCAGTTTTTCTATTCATTGTTGGATATCCTACTGTCTCGTGCATGACTCTTTCGTAGGCGTTTTTAGCAGCTGCTTCGAAAAGATCGTTTATACCGATATTATCTTTAGCAGATGTTTCTATGAATTCAGATTTGTTTGATTCAGCAAATAAAATGCAATCATCTCGAGGCATTAAACCTTCTTGTCTCAGATCTGACTTATTTCCAACTGTAAAGATCGGGACTTTATTTTGCATTGTAGCAGAAAGTTCGTCAAACCATCCTTGTGCTTTTATCATTGAATCTTTGTTGTCCAATGCAAAAACAACAATAATTGCATCGGCATTTCTGTAGAAATTAGGACAAACAGACTGGTAGACCTCTTGTCCAGCTGTGTCACATATATTTAAAGTTACTTCTTCTGAATTGATTTCAATAGTTTTTTGAAATGAGGCAACTTGAATTGTTGGTGGGTTGTTTCCATAAAATTCGTTTGAACAGTATCTGTGGATGATAGATGTCTTGCCGACATTTGTTGTTCCAAGAAGTACAATTTTGAGATTTCGAACCATAAAAATTTGGCAGAACACTTTTATGAAATTTTAATGTTAAGTATGTTTTTAGTTAAATCATGTGTATTTCATATTGTGGTTTTTCACTCCAAAAATATCAGGAAAATATAATTTTATTGTTGAAAAAAAAACTTATTCTAGCAAATGAAAAACTTGTGAATAGATTAAACCGAAGGAATTTAAAAATTCAACATTTAGAACTTACACAAAAACAATACTACACCTAAGGTGAAAACAATTATAGGCTTAACTCTTTCATCTGCATTAATTTGAAGAGTATCCTTGTCTATCTTCCCGATACAGATTCTAGAATAATTCTTAGAATCCTCAAGAACAGTGTTCTTGATACTTGTAATGATTTTAGGAATTTCTTTCTTCAGAAGGCTTTCAGGAAGGATTTCTTGTGGCTGACTAGTATATTCGAAAGTACTTCCGTCATCAAATTTAATTCTAGCTTCTGCATTCTTCGATTCATTTTGATTAGCATTTTTACTAAGTTTCAGATTAAATAGTTCCAGGCCATGTTGATGGTTAACTCTAAGTGAAATATCAGTAAGATCCTTATTAATCAAAATGTATTCCGCAAAACTTTTATTGCTGAAGTGAGAATTGTTGCCAGCGGAGATCTTAATACATTCTCCAATGTTAAGAGTTTTAACTTTGACATGATACTGAGGAATTTCGCCATAATATTGCTGAAAATGTGTCCTTGATCCTTTCCAGCTAATTTTGACTTCTCTTTTGACTCGATATATGATAGTTTTTGCAGAAAAATGATTGATGCTTGGACTCTTTGTCATTTTCGGCCTTGTAGAATTTTGATTATCATTTTTGCCTACAGGAAAAGCATGATTTGAAGAAGAAACGTCTAATTTTACAGCTAATGGTATTCTCTTATTACCATCTAAATTGTCAATAGGTAGGGATTTTGGAATTTTGCGAATGGCGTAATTCTGTGAAAGATTTTGATCCTGAGATGCAAATGCACCATTGTCACCATCAGCATCGTTAATCCCCGAGTTAAAATTACCTTCTGTTTGTCCTGTGTTGCTATCGTTATTATTGAGTTTGCGAACTTTTGCTTGGAGGTCAATATTATCAGTCGAATTCATATTGTGTTGATGAATAGGCTCTTCCAAATCAACAGCATCAGAATCAAGCTCCATTGTAAGGGAGTTATTTCTTTCCTCTGAAAATTGACGATTTTATCTTTTAAAAAGTTTATTCTCTGAATTTTTTTATTATCTTAATCGATTTATTTAGAGAACAATCTCTTATAACTTATTTTGCTTAATTAATTTTTTTCAGACGGTTTATTGAGAGAAAACATGAAACGTTTTGGCAAAAATTAAACAATAAAAAACATTAAAAATATTATTGTGTTCTTTGTTTTATTCGGCATTGGTTCAATAAATATTTACTCAAAAACATTTCATAACAATTCAAAAATCATTCACTTATTTTTCCGAAATACATGAAGTGTTCGATATCAGCTACAACAATTTCGTAATTATTTTCATGTGAAGTGAGAAAATTGTCGTTAATTGATTAATTCCCGCATGATGTTAAGAGTTATCAGATTTCTATACAAAAAAAGTACCACGCATGAAATTTTGATGATAATTATTTAGCGCTAGCCTCAAATGTTAGAATTTTGTTCTCCGACATTATTTTGATTGGTATTTATATCAATAAATCTATGAAATATGTTATATATTTCTAAAATCAAACTAAATCCTTTGGAGGAAATCGATTTTGCATCTGTTCACGACTTAGAGGAAGCAGAATGTACAATTTGAATAGGGAATACATTTCATTGTCACCTTTTGAACAATTATCGTATTTTAAAATATTAGATTCTATTTAGTATTTTAAATGTATTTTCATTGAAAAAATTGAATTGGGAAATTGGGAAAACAGTATTCAATTTATTTTGAATCTTGGGAAAAAATTATCTGAATTGATCATTCGATACTATTTCATCAATGAATAACTGGCAAAATGCTCTCTTCAATGAAAGGACTTTATTGCAGAACAGTAAGCCCCCTACACAAGAAGATTTGAACCATGCCAAAGATATTTTATCAAACCTTAAAGCTTCAAATAAAGATTTGAATGTTCAACAAGAAAAGATGTATGAAGTTGATGCTAGAGAATATCAGATGTTCCTATGCTGGAAAAGTAGAATGAAATCCAAAATCCAAAAAATGGATTTACAAAATCAAAATAATTATATTCCAAAAGAATTGAATTGTAATGTCATTCCAATTGCTACACAACTACCTGACAACAAATCAAATAAACTTAGAAAAATCAATCCAGCACTCCTCACTCCGCCACCTTTAGATTTACCGAACTGCAATTGCCCTGGACTTCCATATAATCCTCAATTCTACCAAAATTTCTCTTTTCCTCATATCCCAAATGTTCCCACAAAACAAAAAAAGTAGAATATTATAATATGCTGTTTTTTGTCATTTAAATCTTACTGTTCATTACGGATCTTTACTTTGTTTGTTAAATAAAATTATAAAAATATCATGTTATATCTAATAAGAATTCGTAAAGTTCATTAAGCCATAATGTGTGAGTATGTGATTTTCTGATGCATATAATTGTCGATTTAAAAAAAATATGAATGAGATATAAAATAAATATAGAAAATCTATGCGAAAAATACGATAAAATTTGGTTTTACATATTAAATGATAATATTTTAAAATATAAGAACAGAAATATAAATAACAAATAAATTATTGTCTATAATGATAGTTATAATAACCGAGTTGGGTCCTCTTGAGGGATCTATCAGTGTACCAAGTGTGGAACAATTGCTTGACTCTAGCGCTGTAAGGAGCTCCAACGAAATCTCTGTACATTTTGAGAAGTTGAGTGTTTTCGTTTGTTGTTGACTTTCCTTCAGCAATCTTCTGTTTATCGATGGCGTAAAGTGAGTTAATTCTGGCCTGAAGAATATCTTTCTTCAAAACTGTTCTTGAATGGAGAACTTGGCCACCACCGCCAACGCATCCGCCTGGGCAAGCCATAACTTCAACGATATGGAAGTCTTTGTACATTCCAGAGTTAATGAAGTCATGAGCGTTACCAACACCGTTGCAAACAGCGATATTGATGTTGTTTCCTGCGATATTGACTGTAGCAGTCTTAACACCATCAAGACCTCTGAGATCTGAGTAGATCAACTGTCCAATTGGAAGTCCCGTCATTTTCTCGTAGCAGAATCTCAAAGCGGCTTCGGCAACACCACCTGTTGCACCGAAAATTGTTGCACCACCTGTTGATTCTGAGAGAATGTTGTCGTATGGAGAATCTGGAAGATTATCCCAGTCAAATTGGTAGTTATTCTTGATCATTTCTACGAATTCGACACTGGTGAGAACAGCATCGACAACTCCTTTGTGCTGTGGCCTCTCAATTTCATCTTTCTTCGCGGTACATGGCATAACTGAGACAGTGAAGATTTTCTCTGGTGGAATTCCAGCTACTTGAGCGAAATATGTCTTGATGGCAACACCACTCATCATATGTGGGCTCTTTGCTGTTGAAAGATTTGGAATAATTTCTGGATGCTTTGTTTCAACGAAGTTAACCCATCCTGGGCAGCAGGAAGTGAACTGTGGTAAAGGAGCTTCATGGTTAAGGAGTCTTGCCATGAATTCAGTGCCTTCTTCTATAATTGTCTGATCAGCACCGTAATTGATATCGAAAACGTACTTGAAGCCCATCTTTCTTGCAGCTGCGACAATCTTTCCTGTGCAGATTGTGCCGGGATCGTGGCCAAATCCTTCAGCTATTGTAACTCTAACAGAAGGAGCTGTTTGGAGTACGCAGATCTTATCGGATGCAAGTGCTTCAAGAACTCTTCCGATAGATGGGAAAGGAGTAAGTGCAGCAACAGGACAAACTGTAAGACAATGACCACATCTGATGCAGCTATCATCGATGGCGTGAGTCACGGAGTCAATTGAGTCAATCTGTTGTACATTGGTGCATGCACGAATACAGAGATGACAATTGATGCATTTTGTATTGTCCCATTGAATTGAATCATTTTGTTGTGGTGGATAAGGAAGTCCTTGCTTAGGTTGATAGTAATTCCATAAATCTTCAATATCTGGTGTTTTTTGCATCATCGTAGCCGGTGCAAATTTTTGTAAATTTAATAAAGATTGCTGCTTAACATCCATCGTGTTTGTTTCAACGACCATGCCTTCCTGGCAATATGTAACACATGCACGTTGGAGTGATGAGCCATTTACTTTTACAACATCGACACCACATGCGCCGATTGGAGGGAGATCAGGATGTGAACATAATGTTGGTACATAAATATTCAGTTGCCTGCATGCTTCAATAATTGTTGTGTTTCTTCTAACATAAGCGTCTTGGCCATTGATAGTTAGATGGATCATAAACTTTGAATTGAATGATCCCCAAACCGATGACGATTATTTTGAATTTAGTTATACAATATGTGTTTATTAAATATTTCGAAATTTTGGATCGTATTTTATGATAGTATTCAAAAATTTGAATACTTTATATGCAATCAAAAATTGAATTGCAGTTCTTACTTGGAAAATCAGATTTATTTTTTGTGGATAAACAGAATCTATGTGTTTCGGAGACTAATCTAACATATGATTCATTCTCAATTAATCAAATTAAATGTAAAAACTTTCATTATTTTGGTGATTTTCTTCCAAATAATGATCATTCATGTTGTTATGATGTGCACATATGCTTACTGCAAACCAAATCGAGATTGTGTCAACTGAAGAAAATCATCAATTCTTTTTTTGAAACTGAAGTTATTTGTTGTATCTCTTATCTCATAGAACGTATCAATACCACCTAAATCAACAAATTTCGAGATGAATCCCATAGAATAATCCTGATTTTTGTCGTCATTGAACAAATTTATCAGTAAAGTAAAGATTTTGTTGACCAAATCAGTACCATTATGGCATAAAAGATCAAGTATTGTAACAATAATGGGTAAAACAGTCTCAATTATGACATCTTTCGAAATATACTCAGGATATTTTGAAATTAAGCGAATAAATATCTCTGCGGCAATACATTTTCCATCAATAGTAAAATCATCATATTTTTCTTTCAATACATCAATCAAACCATTGACACATAACTGACAAGCGGCTTCATGGCAATAATTAACTAATTGTAATATAATATTGAGACATTTATCTGATGATTCGATACTTGTTGATAATTTGTGAAGAATCATCGCTGTTGGGTCAATTCCGAATTCTTCTGCAATATTTTGATTACAATACAAAGCGCGCGATATAAGACTAAGAGATCCTAAACTTATTGAGTTATCTTCATTCTGATAATAGATTTCTATTAGATTTCTTACAGGATTTCCTTGATTTATCTGATATGCAAGGACATGTGTCGCTGTTTCGGGATTATGGATTAGATTCTCAAGAGTTTCGAGTAAAAGAGGTGTAGGGATTATATCAAAATCCCGTTTGAGGTTGTCTAAAAAGAGATCTGTGTATTTATGTTGTTTAAAGCGATTTGCTGCAGTTGCTACTGTTCCAAACGCTAGATATATCTCACCGTGAGTAAGTGCATTAGGAACAATAACCATTTCATGGATAGTTGTTAAATATTTTCCTAATTTGTTAAAATTTTCAATGAATTTTTTTTGAAATGCGCTCTCTATTATATTGAAAATCACTTCTACTAATGCTGTATGGAACTTTTCTGTCTGATTTTTGATTCTCCAGTCAATTTCTACGTTGATAATTGATAAAAGATATAAGAGTACATCATTATCGTTGTTTTCATCTTTGTGGGTAACTAATATCTTGCTAATTTCATATTCAACAGTATCTTCTTCATCAACATCGATTATGTGTCTTAAAAAAAGTAAAATCTGATAGGTATATTGGCGATATTCGATACTATTCTTAAGAATTTCTAGTATTACATCAGTAAATTTCCTTAAATCGAAATCTTCTTGAGTAAAAAGAAAATTTTCTCCAAAATATTGATTTAATTGTAGAAAAAGATTCATGAGTTGGTTCCATCCCATGTTTTCGTAATCTGTAAGTATTGAAGAAAGGATTTTATCAACTTGTAGTTCATCAATATATTTTTCTGAAATTGGATGTTGATTTAGCAGATCATTTTCTTCATCATCGTTAAAATCTCCTGTAATGTTGTCTTCTGCCTGCATTTTTGAAGAATAAAAATGATCATCTTCTCCATCAGAAGAATTATCAAACATTTTTCTCAAAGAAAATGAACCAAAAGAAGAAATTAGAAGGGTATATGTATTAAAACATAGAAATTATGTTTGAAATTGATTGTAAAAAAAAAAAATTATAAAAAAAAATAATAAGAATGACAGTTTTAGCATTGCTTATGCATCCTGGTAGTACTTATCACTAATGAACTTGCAGATAGCATCTGCTGTTTCGACGACTTGGTCACCGTTGAGTGCGACGATCTTGTATTGGATGATTGGGCGGTCTTCGGAAAGAGGAGCAGCCTTATCAAGGAATCTCTGGATAAGGTAGTCAGCGCAAGCTTCTGGGTTGTGGGAATCGCCAGAGAATTCTGGGAAGATTTTGACGAAAGCATCTGTATTCTTGATTTTCTCTGTAAAGACATCGAACTTGTTGCAGACAAGGAAGATTGGAGAGTTGGAGAACTTCTCTTGGTGTGTAATGTTGCCGAAGATTTCGAGGGAATCGTTGATACGAAGAACATTTTGATCTTCGAACATTGGCTTGTCGAATTCGGCGAAGGAAACGCAGAAGATGACACCTTCGACCTGGTTCATAACGTTGGCCCACTTGGAACGTTCGGATTTCTGACCACCGACATCGAAGATTCTGATTCTGGCGCCCTGAAGGTCGAATGTAATAGCTTCGATACCGATTGAGCGGATACGAGCACGGAGAACATCTTCGTTGGATGGGATGTAGTCTTCTCCGGCAAGTTCGTCAATCTTAGCAAAGAAGTATGGCATGTGGTCTGGAACAGCTGTTTCGTCCTTGTGCTCGAAGGCCTTCTTGATTTGTTCGTTCTCCCAAAGAGCCTTAAGCTTCTCAACAAGCTCTTCGTTGAATTCGCAATCCTGTGGGTCAACATCGATGATATCCTGGGCCATTGATGATAATTCAGAGTCCTCAATTTCGATGTTGTTGTGCTCGAGCCAGACAAGAAGGAGCTGCATTGTCTCAACGAGGTTACCGCGAATTGTTCTTAAGAAATCGCGGCAGTCCTTCTCGTTAAATCCATTGAGGTAGCGAAGTTTGAGTTGGCGAGTGAATGTTGTCTTACCAGATTCACCAGCACCGCAAAGAAGAAGACCATAGGCTTCATTTGTATCATCTTCAACTGCAACAACTTTTGGAGCTGGTTCGGCTGGCTTCTGTGGCTCTGGGGCTGGAGCAGGAGCTGGAGCTGGCTCAGCTGGTTTCGGCGGCTCTGGTTGTGGCTGTGGCTCTGGCTGTGGTTGTGGCTCTGGTTTTGGCTCTGGAACTTGCTCTACTTTCTTTGGAACTGGAGCTGATGGAAGCTTCGCGTTGGAAGGTTCAGATGGTTTAGATGCTGAACAACCCATTTGATTCAATTTCGAACCGTCAAAACCGATTTTGCCTTCAAAATATTGACATGAAATAGTGTCAGCAATTCATTTCACTTTATATGATAATTATTGAGTTTTATTTTATTGGTTTATGAATTGCAAATTGATGAATCGCATTTTTTGCAAAATCTTCAAAATCGGACCCTCAAATAAAGTATTATCATTGGCAGATGAAATATGAATAAATTATTAACTATAATTTGCGATATCGGATCAAATTTTTGGTGGATTTTCTTGTTGAAAAAAAAAATAGATATTGATTGTTTAAATGAAGTAAAATGTTTTCATAATTTTGATAAAAAAAAACTTTCGCCGATAATTTGAATTCAAAGTTGAAAAATTTATGAAAAAGATAAATTTAAGCTTGGCATTTCGATAGTTTTTACAATGATCACTGTGATATTTGCACTTAGGAAGCTCTAAAACATATGTTAGAATGATATATGATTCGGTCAATTCTTGAAATTTGTGATTTATATGTTTCACTGGCCATTGCACTCATAATAAAAATACCTTGAGTATTATATTCATTTTTCTTATGAAATAGCTTAAATACTCTAAAATTGTATTTCTCTTATTATTTCTTAATTTGGAACCGCATAGTGTTTTGGAAAATATCCTTAGCGATAGCTATATAAAATCCTAGTTTATATTTTGGACTTGTTGAGTTCTATTAAAAATTAAATACCCTCAATTTTTGACTTTTGCAACTTTTTCATGACCCAGGTATCTAAAATACCATTTATCGCCTGAAAAGCACCCTTAATTTATGCCAATTGACAAAATAAAGATATGTTTAGAATGCTGATATGATGGAGAATCATGCTGCATCATTATTGGCCAGCCATATATAATATTTAAGAAATCTACGAGATTATCTGATTTCATGAAACTCAATGTATACTAAGTTTCAGACTTTGAAATTTTAACATGTTGATATGGGTACATAGGGTTTATGATTCCAGTCATTTATTTAAAAAATTACAAAAATGAATTAATATGATGTGAGTAACAATGGTAATAAACGCTTAATTACTAATATGTTATTTCTTGGTAGGAATGAAATGTTTTGGTGACATTTATAGAAGTTAAGCTGAGAATCAAAAATGCAAAAATTATTTTAAATATTACAAGCATTATTTGATGTCATTGAGTTTAGAGTCGTGTAGATATATGAGTACAATATGTTATTGATGTATATATGCAATAATTGTGAAAATGAAATGTGAATCTCAAGATGAGTTGCATGTTACTGCGCTATAATTTGAATTCAATACGTACATAACATTACTAAATGTATTTTAAGATAATACAAAAAATTAAGCTTGCAAAAAGATATCGAAATGTAATTTTCATTAGATTCAAAGTTCTGAATAGATTTTGATTTTAACTATTGATGAGTTTGTCAAACCTCTATAATAATAGAATGTAGAACTAATTAAATATAATTAATAAAAAAATACAAATTTAAGTGATATTATAAGAGATATATGTGATGTTACCAATATGATATGATATTGGAGAACTGATAGAATTGTGATGTGAGACTAAATATGATTTTATTATGAATAGGAGAATAATATTAGAAGAATTTCTTGAATTTAATGTATCTGAATATGTAATTGGGCATATATTCTATATATATATTGGTAGGTTAACTAGAAATAAGAAGATGAAAGATTGTTAATGAATAATATGAGATTAAGCGAAAATATATTGTTCTAATAGATGAGTGTTGAGATCCAATATATATGAAGAGGGATATGTGAGAGGAAATATGTATATTTAATAAAATAAGCGATGAGAGAAAAAATAACAAAGATTTATATGAAATTTTGAGTATTGAAAAAGCGCGATTAGTGATTTTATGTCTGTTAAAGGAATAGATATTCTAGGAGAAAGATAAATTGAATTAAAGAAGAATAAAAAAAGTTGATTAAGATTGATAAAAATATTGAATTGTATGACAATGGAAAGAAGGAATAAATTGGTGTTGGTATGACGGTATCATTTCGGGAGACATTGCCTCTGCATGTCTCCCAGAATGAACAATGTTCCGCATTCATAATTGAACGCGGAAGTTTGACCGACAAGAGTGTATTGTGCACTCTTGTCGGTCGCAGTGTCTCATTCTGGGAGACATTGCCTCTGCATGTCTCCCAGAATGGAACAATGTTCCGCATTGATAACTTGAACGCGGAAGTTTGACCGACAAGAGTGTATTGTGCACTCTTGTCGGTCGCAGTGTCTCATTCTGGGAGACATTGCCTCTGCATGTCTCCCAGAATGGAACAATGTTCCGCATTGATAACTTGAACGCGGAAGTTTGACCGACAAGAGTGTATTGTGCACTCTTGTCGGTCGCAGTGTCTCATTCTGGGAGACATTGCCTCTGCATGTCTCCCAGAATGGAACAATGTTCCGCATTGATAACTTGAACGCGGAAGTTTGACCGACAAGAGTGTATTGTGCACTCCTGTCGGTCGCAGTGTCTCATTCTGGGAGACATTGCCTCTGCATGTCTCCCAGAATGGAACAATGTTCCGCATTGATAACTTGAACGCGGAAGTTTGACCGACAAGAGTGTATTGTGCACTCTTGTCGGTCGCAGTGTCTCATTCTGGGAGACATTGCCTCTGCATGTCTCCCAGAATGGAACAATGTTCCGCATTGATAACTTGAACGCGGAAGTTTGACCGACAAGAGTGTATTGTGCACTCCTGTCGGTCGCAGTGTCTCATTCTGGGAGACATTGCCTCTGCATGTCTCCCAGAATGGAACAATGTTCCGCATTGATAACTTGAACGCGGAAGTTTGACCGACAAGAGTGTATTGTGCACTCCTGTCGGTCGCAGTGTCTCATTCTGGGAGACATTGCCTCTGCATGTCTCCCAGAATGGAACAATGTTCCGCATTGATAACTTGAACGCGGAAGTTTGACCGACAAGAGTGTATTGTGCACTCCTGTCGGTCGCAGTGTCTCATTCTGGGAGACATTGCCTCTGCATGTCTCCCAGAATGGAACAATGTTCCGCATTGATAACTTGAACGCGGAAGTTTGACCGACAAGAGTGTATTGTGCACTCCTGTCGGTCGCAGTGTCTCATTCTGGGAGACATTGCCTCTGCATGTCTCCCAGAATGGAACAATGTTCCGCATTGATAACTTGAACGCGGAAGTTTGACCGACAAGAGTGTATTGTGCACTCCTGTCGGTCGCAGTGTCTCATTCTGGGAGACATTGCCTCTGCATGTCTCCCAGAATGGAACAATGTTCCGCATTGATAACTTGAACGCGGAAGTTTGACCGACAAGAGTGTATTGTGCACTCTGTCGGTCGCAGTGTCTCATTCTGGGAGACATTGCCTCTGCATGTCTCCCAGAATGGAACAATGTTCCGCATTGATAACTTGAACGCGGAAGTTTGACCGACAAGAGTGTATTGTGCACTCCTGTCGGTCGCAGTGTCTCATTCTGGGAGACATTGCCTCTGCATGTCTCCCAGAATGGAACAATGTTCCGCATTGATAACTTGAACGCGGAAGTTTGACCGACAAGAGTGTATTGTGCACTCCTGTCGGTCGCAGTGTCTCATTCTGGGAGACATTGCCTCTGCATGTCTCCCAGAATGGAACAATGTTCCGCATTGATAACTTGAACGCGGAAGTTTGACCGACAAGAGTGTATTGTGCACTCTTGTCGGTCGCAGTGTCTCATTCTGGGAGACATTGCCTCTGCATGTCTCCCAGAATGGAACAATGTTCCGCATTGATAACTTGAACGCGGAAGTTTGACCGACAAGAGTGTATTGTGCACTCCTGTCGGTCGCAGTGTCTCATTCTGGGAGACATTGCCTCTGCATGTCTCCCAGAATGGAACAATGTTCCGCATTGATAACTTGAACGCGGAAGTTTGACCGACAAGAGTGTATTGTGCACTCCTGTCGGTCGCAGTGTCTCATTCTGGGAGACATTGCCTCTGCATGTCTCCCAGAATGGAACAATGTTCCGCATTGATAACTTGAACGCGGAAGTTTGACCGACAAGAGTGTATTGTGCACTCCTGTCGGTCGCAGTGTCTCATTCTGGGAGACATTGCCTCTGCATGTCTCCCAGAATGGAACAATGTTCCGCATTGATAACTTGAACGCGGAAGTTTGACCGACAAGAGTGTATTGTGCACTCCTGTCGGTCGCAGTGTCTCATTCTGGGAGACATTGCCTCTGCATGTCTCCCAGAATGGAACAATGTTCCGCATTGATAACTTGAACGCGGAAGTTTGACCGACAAGAGTGTATTGTGCACTCCTGTCGGTCGCAGTGTCTCATTCTGGGAGACATTGCCTCTGCATGTCTCCCAGAATGGAACAATGTTCCGCATTGATAACTTGAACGCGGAAGTTTGACCGACAAGAGTGTATTGTGCACTCCTGTCGGTCGCAGTGTCTCATTCTGGGAGACATTGCCTCTGCATGTCTCCCAGAATGGAACAATGTTCCGCATTGATAACTTGAACGCGGAAGTTTGACCGACAAGAGTGTATTGTGCACTCCTGTCGGTCGCAGTGTTCTCATTCTGGGAGACATTGCCTCTGCATGTCTCCCAGAATGGAACAATGTTCCGCATTGATAACTTGAACGCGGAAGTTTGACCGACAAGAGTGTATTGTGCACTCCTGTCGGTCGCAGTGTCTCATTCTGGGAGACATTGCCTCTGCATGTCTCCCAGAATGGAACAATGTTCCGCATTGATAACTTGAACGCGGAAGTTTGACCGACAAGAGTGTATTGTGCACTCCTGTCGGTCGCAGTGTCTCATTCTGGGAGACATTGCCTCTGCATGTCTCCCAGAATGGAACAATGTTCCGCATTGATAACTTGAACGCGGAAGTTTGACCGACAAGAGTGTATTGTGCACTCCTGTCGGTCGCAGTGTCTCATTCTGGGAGACATTGCCTCTGCATGTCTCCCAGAATGGAA